CCACGCCGCGCTTGAGCTGGCGCATCTGCGCCTCGATGGAGACTCCGCCGTACACGCACGCCGTGGAGAGGTTGGGCGCCGACTCGCAGAACTCGCGCTCCACCTGCTTCGCTAGCTCGCGCGTGGGCGCGAGGACGAGACAGCGGGGCGCACGGAACGGGCGCCTGGGGGAAGGGGGGAGGAAGCGTGGTTGGGCGAGGGGGCGGGAGGAACAGTGGAGGGAAAAGTGGGCGAGGGCGGGGGGGGTATAAGTACGAGGATGATTGAGCTGGCGCATCTGCGCCTCGATGGAGACTCCGCCGTACACGCACGCGGTGGAGAGGTTGGGCGCGGACTCGCTCTACTTGCTTCGCTAGCTCGCGCGTGGCCGCGAGGACGAGACAGCGGGGCGCGCGGAACGGGCGCCTGTGGGCGGGTGAGGGGCAATGGGAAAGTGCAGGAGGGCAAAGGGAAGAGGAAAGAAGAGGAGGGGAGGGGGGAGGGGTGGCGGGTGGGGAGTGGGGGTGTGGGGAGGGGGGGAGGAGGGAGGGAGGAGGGAGGGGAGAGGAGGGGGAGGGGGATGAAAGAGGGCCAAGAGGGCGCGGGGGAGAAGCGAGCGCAGGTTAGTGATAGATTAGAAACGGAGTGACTCGCTGACCTGCAGGTTAGGGAGGAGAGGAGACACGGGGAGAGAGGGGATGGTGGTCATCTTCAAGGCTCGCTTCTTTAGTGACTCTGCATTAACTTAAGTAATTTAGTTCTTTAGACGCCTCAAGCAAAGCGCAGTCACCAGGAGAGAATTTTCAGGCGTGTAAAAGATCGCAGCAACTATTCCTTTCTTTCGGCAGTCCTCTCGCGAGTTCGCTTCTTGACGGAACGATCTCTAACGAAGTACAAATTTGACATGAATCGTGCGATATTTCCTCTCAGATGACGTGCACAGTTCTTCATACATGTTCTAAACCAATCACGGAGTGCATTCCATTCCACCCGAGACAGACTTCGAACACGCGCCTTGGGACGGGGACGACCGTCTTCAGACGTCTCACTTAACCCCATGAACCCTAAAAAGAATACAAAAAACACGCACTTACCGTTGTCCTCCTCGATCTCGCGTGAAAGAAGCGCCCTGAAATGAAAATGTCGCATGCGCGCGCCTTGAGCCGTCTCAAACACATGAACCCTAAGAAAACACAAAACACGGACCCCACGACGTCTCACAATACGCACCTGCCGTTGTTCTCCTCGATCTCGCGCGTGATGCGCTCCAGGATGGGAATGCCGAACGCGAGCGTCTTCCCCGTGCCCGTCTTGGCGCGCGCGATGATGTCGCGCCCCTCCATCGACGGCGCCAGCACCGCGTGCTGCCATTGGCGGAGCATAAAGGTAAAAAAGGGGGAGGGCGCGGAGAGGGAAGAGACGGGGGGGGGGAGAGCGGGGGGGGGGGAGGGGAGAGGAGGGGGGAGGGGGGAGGGGAGGAGGGGAAGGGGGAAGGGGAAGATGAGGAACACTATCGAGCGCCGGGAAACTGCCGGCAGCACACTATCGGGCACTGTGAAAGGCGCTTATCATCAAAACTTCCTTCAAACCCTCGCAGTCGCAACTGGATGGAAGCAGTCGAGTAACGGGCATACGACGAATGCAAACGATCCAACCCGAGACGGAAACATGGATAAAGCTAGGGTTTGACTCACCTCGGAAGTGCATAAACCCGTGGCTCATACCTGAATGGGGAAGAGCCGTGAGATTCCTCGCTTCAGCAGCGACTGCTCAATAATCGTCGCGAGGCCGAGGCTTTCAATCGCCAGCTCATCCCTGTCCACGTCAGTATCGGACACGTCGACCAACACCACCTCCCCTTCCTCGTCGCTGCTCGCCTCATCCTCACTATCAAAAACCTCCGCTTCCGAATCGGATGTTAAACCCCGAGGAAACTCACGCCCAAGCCCTGAACCTGCAGATGCGCCGCCGCTCTTAGCGCGCGCCTGGTACAGCGCCTCGAGAGTGCGTGAACTGGAGCCGTCGGATTCGGAATCGGACGACGAGGATTCGGAAGACTCGTCGAGAGTGTAGTCCGACGTCGGCAACACCGCGCCCTGGCGGACGGCGGGAGTTGCGCCAGCGACAGCGGAGCGGGGGGCGGAGGCGGAACCGATAGGGCTTGCGCTCGCGGCGGAGTCGGAAGAAGACGCGTGCGCGGAAAAGGTAGACGCGAGACGCGACGCAACTCCGCCTGGATGCGATGATAACAACAGCGAGTCCCGAGCGAGACCGCCGGAGAAGAAAGATGAACTAGAGAAGGGACTTCCTCGTCCTGATTGACTTCTGAAAGTTGACGACCATTGGAGGCAGGTGAAGGAGCCGGGAGCGTGCGCGCCGTGAGTAACGGCGTTGTTTGCGGCCAGCAGGGCTGCCTGAGTGGCTTCTATGGAGGTGGCGGCGCGGGAAAGGCCTCGTGACGCGACGGACGCTCCCCGCGAAGCGATCGCCGTTGTTGTCGCAGCGGATGAGGCGACTGCCATCGCTGCGCGGCTGCGACGGTGGAGGAGAAGTAATTGGCGTGAAGCCACGGTGAAACTTTCAGAAAAGGGTTGCAGCTCAGCACAGCGTCTTTGCGACCCGAGTGACGATTTTTAGAGTGTTTGAACAGCGGCAGATGTCGAGAAGCGTAAAGTTACTCCTTCACTCGTGCAAACTAGTACTTGTTACTGATACCACGAAAGGTAAGCTCCGAAGACGCGGAGCACAAGGACGAGGGGTGAGCTGAAACGGAGACTGCCAGAAACCTCGACAATCGAGGCACAGAAACTAGGAAAGAAAGAGTTACGTTGGATGGGTTTCTATATTTATGGACCAAAGGCCAGTTAGGAAGGTGCGGGAGAAGATGAAAGCAGATAGCGAAGGGGAAGTGGAGGGTCGGAGGAGGACGTGGCCTCGAGATTACTTTCTGGGGCAGGTTTCAAACGACATGGCTTCGCTTGCTCTGGGCCGGGGGCACGCTTCGGGCAGCCAGGTTGCGGCCTTTGATCAAACATCAGTGGTGCGCGCTGGACCGGGAATGGCTGCGCTAGCGAATTCCTGAGTTTCGACATGGCATGGCTCACCCAGTCTCCTCCGTCCTTCTGGGAAATTTGCGGAGCCGCTTGTAAGCCTTCGCCGCGTGGCACCGTGAATATCCCAGCATGACCGCCGCGGTCAGCGAAGACAAGAAGCTGAAGCAAGTGGGCATCTGATTGGTTGACGAGCTTCAGGGATTACGTACTGTACGGGCAGCGGGTCGCTTTTCCTGGGAGCTCCTGGGTTACTTGTGTGGCTGGAATTCGAGGGGGCCTGGCTTGGGGACGGGAATCCAGTGAAACGGTGACGCGCGGACCCTGGCTGCCGCCACGTCGATAAGCCGACATGTAGATGTTCCACGTCACCATAAGGTCTCATACTTTGAATTTGGTGTAGTTTGTAAGCGTACACCATGCAACAAAGCCAATGTTACATCCGTTTACTAACACCAGCATCCCACTCAGGTCACACCCCCATCTATTCCTACCCTCGTGTCAATTGGAACCTCATATCATGTATGTACTTTTTGCCTGGTAAAACTAGCGAGAGGTTTTGGGTTTAGGGGAATTTTCAGTGGGAAGTTGATATGAGGTATTCTTGATATGAGGATAGGAATACGCCCTAATCAAAACTGACTAGCCTTTATTACGTGTGGCTGAACAAACACTTCAGGTGACTGTCAAAATGCAACCATTTGTTTTCCAAATGCTGCCAACCAAGCACCAATTCTCACCCTGTTGTGCCTGCAGTTGTGCTGCAGTAGCCACACTTACTGCTACTCATAGTGCCTCGAGCTCTTATCTGATGTTTGTCAAGCTGATCTACCAGCAACCATCTGCCTTCCACTCCGGGTAAGGACTACAAGCCCACACAGCGTCTTTTCTCCCCTTTCCTCCTCCTCCACCCAGCCTTGCCCACTTCTTGATGAATCAGCCAATCACATCGTGGCAGTTTCCACTAACCAAGCACATTAAGCATGTGCTGCATCAGCGGATAAAACATAAATCACAAAACCCAGCGGCACCTAGCAGCACCTCAGCTGACCGACTGGCTTGTTAAGCTTCTACCAAAAACCTGGCTTCACAAACACTCCAACACCTGAACCAAACCAAGCCCCAAACAGACTCTGCATTACCTCTCGAGCCGCCTCAAGACATCCCCCCTGCAAACCACACAATCACCTTGTCATGGCTTCTCTGCATAGCAATCGCCGCCAGCAGCCCCCTCACCACCCCCCCAAGCGTCCATGCTCACCTTCGAATCCTGATGCACTCCCTGAGCAGCCTAAAAAAACCCTGAACCTACTCATCTCACCACCACTCTCTTGAATCTAATAAAGTCACCCAATCAGCTGTCATCATGGCTGCTCTGCTCTGCAGCTTAAACGTCTCCTTCAACCCCTCACTAGCCCTCCGACCCCCAACAAACCTCTCCTTCATCAACTTGCTGCTGCTGCTGCCTCCCCCAACAGCTCACCCAATCAGCTTGTCATGGCTGCTCTGCTCTGCAGCTTACACGTCTACTTTAACACCCTCAACCACCCTCCAATCCCCTCCCCAATACTCTGAATCACTGTTCGAGCCACCAAATTCCCAAACACCTCACCCAATCAGCTTGTCATGACTGCTCTGCAGGTTAAACGTCTTCTTCAGCCCCGGAGCCAGCCTCCCCAGGCCCCCACAACTCGGAATCACAGCCTAAGTCGCCGATCCCCCAAACCGCTCAACCAATCAGCTTATCATGACTGCTCTGCAGGTTAAACGTCTTCTTCAGCCCTCGAGCCAGCCTCCCCAGGCCCCCACAACTCGGAATCACAGCCTAAGTCACCGATCCCCCAAACAGCTCACCCAATCAGCTTATCATGACTGCTCTGCAAGTTGAACGTCTTCTTCAGCCCCCGAGCCAGCCTCCCCAGGCCCCCACAACTCGGAATCACAGCCTAAGTCGCCGATCCCCCAAACCGCTCAACCAATCAGCTTGTCATGACTGCTCTGCAGGTTAAACGTCTTCTTCAGCCCCCGAGCCAGCCTGCCCAGGCCCCCGCCAAACCCCGCTCCGATCGCACCGCCAGCTGGCCGCCCGCCATTGGGCATGGACGTGTTGCGCGCAAAAATCCTCCCAGCTGCCTGCGCCGGCATGCCCACATACACGCGGTCTATCAGCCGCGACCCCTGCATGCCAAACCCGGTCCCGGAGCCCGCAGTGGAGAAGGATCGTGCGTGATCAATCGGAGGTTGGTTCAGCCTGCTTCTAGGAGTTGTAGCACCTGCTGCCGCTGCTCCTGCTGCCCCTGCCCCTGCCCCTGCCCCTGCCCCTGCTCCTGCCCCTGCCCCTGCCCCCGCTCCTCCGCCTCCTCCTGCTCCTCCCGTCCCCCCAGCAGCAGCACCACCAGACCCATCCGCACCGCCGCCCTTCCCTTCCTTCACAGCAGCGGCAGCAGCAGCCATGGCCTGGGCCTTCGCCGGCCCCACCAGCACCCCAACCGCCGCCAGCTGAGACGCAATCTCCTCCTCCCAGGTCAGCCCCGACGGGGCCAGATTCCCCACCTGCCCCCGGATCTTCTCCCCCTCCCACGTCCCCCCACCGTCCTTTCCCCCCGACCTACCCACCTGAACGGACCACGCGGCTCTGGCTCTAGCTATCAGCCCGCTCTGAGCAGGCGCTGCCTCGCCTCCTCCTCCCTCTCCCCCTCCTGCTGCGGCTGCGTCATCAGGGGAAACCTTAGCGCCTGACATGGCAGGGCTTTTCCGCCCTGACTGTTGCCCTGAGGGAACCCGATTGCTGCTCCCGCTGTTCCCACCAGCACCGGCAGGCCCCTGGGCGAACCCAGGCGTCTGTCTGGGATGCGGGCTGGTGAAGATAATCGGGGCGGCGACTGCTTGCACAATCTTCTTGGGAATGTTGAACACGAAATCCTCCCCATCGTCGTCGTCACCACCAGCGCTATTCCCGGTACCCGGCTTGCGAATGGTGAACACAAAATCGTCGTCGTTCTCGTCGATTTCCTCCAGCGCGCTTTTGAGCCGAGCCGTGCCGCTGCCTTCCGCTGCCTGTACGAATTCCGGAGCTTGGTCTTCCTTGGTTAGGAATTTCTTAGGGGCGCCTGGATGGAGGATCAGGATGAGTCGCGCCGGCACCACCCCTCGGGAATTCACCACCCACGATTTCATGGCCGTTTCGAGGGTTTCGCGGGCGGATTCGGTTAGGTCGGAAGGTTTTGTGGGAGGGGAGGGGATGGAGGCGGAGGAGAGGAAAAGGTTGCGAAGGGTTGTGAGTTTGCTGCGAGCTTCTTTGCGAGTGAAGCACTCGTATGCGGCTATGGAGAATATGTAGCCTTGGTAGATGTGGAATAGGAACATGACTTGGTCAAAGCCCTGCAGACGTGGAGAGGAAAGGTGGTTGGGAGGAAAAGGGGAATGGGGGTGGAGTGCAAACGAAGATGAGTCTTCCAAAAGGGCAAAGCACTCGTATGCGGCTATGGAGAATATGTAGCATTGGTAGATGTGGAATAGGAACATCACCTGGTCAATGCCCTGTAGACATGAACGGGAAAGGTGGTTGGGAGGAAGGGGAAGAGGAGTGGAGGGGGAGAGTGGGGAGAAGGAGGGGAAGGAGGGGAAGGGGAAGGGGCAAAGTTCAGAAAGAGTTTCAGAAAGAGCAAAGCACTTGTATGGAAAACATGTATCCTCGGTGGATGTAGACTAGGAACATCACATGGTCAAAGCCCTGCAGTGCAGTCTTGGACAGGAAAGGCGGTTGCGTTGGGAGGAAAGGAGGAAGCGAGAGAGGGCATGGAGGGAGGAAGGCGGAGAAGCGGGGGGCTGAAAGAGGCTCAAAAAGCGTGAAGCACTCGGGTGGTGGAGAAGGAAGGAAGGTGGTTGGAAGGGGAAGAAGTGAAAAGGGGGCCGAGGGAAGAGAGCAGGGGGGTGGGGGGGTGGAAGGGGGGGTGGGAGGTGGGGGAGGGGGAGGGGAGAGGTGCGGCTTCATTCCCCATGTGTGTAAGCATCACAAGGTCCCATAAGATCAGATAATGCGACATGTATGCATGCCTGGGTACGTTTATGTATGTATGCAAACAGTAACATGTCCATAAACAAGTTGCTAGAGAAGCAACGTCTGTCTTCGAAATTGCGTCCCCAGCGGAATTCACCCGAATTAATGTGAACTAGATTGGCAAATAGAACAAGGACCACGAGACGGGACATGCAGGAATCAGAACAGGAAAAAAAAAACAACGAAAAAGAAGGACCAGCGGAATTAGTTTAAAAGCGAGGATGGAGGTGAGGACGAGTAAGCGAATTAAAAATAATTAGGTGGGTCGCTACACAATCAAGGCGAGAATCAAGGCGAGAGACAAGGCGAGCCCAACATACCCAGGAGAACCACTGCAAGTTGGAAGGAACCTTCTTCAGCGTTTCGCGAAGGAGTTCGTTGAATTCGCCAAACGGGCTGTAAGCGAGTAACAACTCAGTCCTGTGGGAAATGCCGAGCCCCACGATAAGATCCGCAACCTTCGCCATGGTACCAACACCCCGTTAGGATCCCCAAATTCCGCTCCACTTCTAACGCGTATATGTATTTGATTGGCAGTAAAAAACGATTATATTATCTGATCGTTGTTTGCCTTAGGCTTCACCATAATATGCACAATTAACTTAGGCAGATGAATTACGGATAATATGCGCTCTAATCTGCGGCGACCGAAACGCGATAATTTAGCTCCGTAACTGCCGGACGAGTGGGAATCAATCGAAACCGCCTATCGCACGACATCGGAGGACTCGGCAGACACAACCCGGAATAAAGCGCGCGGGTATTCGTGGAATAAATGGCGCCCGGCGAGTGTTTAGTCGAAAACAAAAGAAACTATCAAATTACACGGTTGCGAATTGGCGAGTCGCCGTTAGCGCTCCCGCCTATCAGCTTGCCAGAGCACCGTCTGTGGAGTCCGGCGATTGACGATGAACTTGTGATAAGCAGTAAATTCGAGCTAAAAAGCCGAGGTAGATTGCTGTTAAAAACTCGAGAATTACGTAATTTATTCGTTGCTGGTCAGCTAAAAACGTTTACTGCTGGTCTTCGCGCGCTATTCACGAGCCTCCGATGCACGCGACGAGAGAAACCTTGGGAAGCTCGGCAGTTGCGAGAGGGAAATAAAATACTCCAAGCCAGCACATTCACAAAGGCTGAATCTTACAACCACGAATGCGTAAGCAGGAGACGACCAGCAAGGGACCATCAAGCAACGAGAAAGGCTGACGGAGGTAGGTGGAGCTTCGCAAACGCCCGCAGAAGTATGCTCGAACACTCCAGAGTAGGTTCATTGAGCATGTGGGGGAGGTAGGAGGGGAGGAGAATGGCTGACAATGTTTGTGTGAACTGCACCATGCATCCTTCCCTAATTGTTACTCCAGTTGAATAATGCCTCTCTGGCACTCCACAACAGAACGATTTGAGTATATATGCTAGTTTCAAGAGCGCTTTGGTACGGTTTAAGGTTCTACAACTCTCCAACCGCTTGATGTGCCTGCTCCCTTGGGAATGTCAACCACTCAAATGATTTTTGTAATGAGTGGCGTGGGATGGAGGGTGGCGAGCGACGTACAGTAGAGGGGATGGACCGAAAGCAAGGGTGTACTGTACACCCTTGGTGGGTTGCCCTGTTTACAGCTCATTCCGTACGGTTGATCGTGTGGCGTCACGATGGAAAACGAGGAAACAAAACCGTTGTAAAACATCCAATATGCTTTTGCACCACGACGGATGAGCTGTCCACGAGCTGCAATCGTGCGTACTGGACACGCCCTGAGGGTTGGTTGAGGGTAGCGGGGTGGGGCTGCCCTATGAACTGGAACTCAATCCGTACTCCAACCTCAACCCTTGGCTTTTGGGCGATATAGACATGATCATGCTAAGTTATGCATTTCAACGAAAATACATATAACTCAACCCCTTTGGCTTCTAAAGTTTCCTGCTTGATGGTGCCTGAAAAAACATGCAATGGAATAAGCACGCTAAGCTATGAAGTGGGCTAAGGGGGGGGGCTTCATAGTCTTCAAAGTCTCGTTTCTCTGGGGTTGTTTTAATCTGGAGACATGCACAGATACCATCCACTATGAACATTGGACATCCACTATGAAGTTTAGCAATACGGTACCCATCACTACCCTTCATCGGGCATATTGGAGGGCGTGGGTGGGTGCAGACAAATGCAAAACGTTAGGTGCTAATCACAGCACACTCTCCTAACTTCCTACCATTCTAAGCAGCCTGAATGCCGCTAGACTCAAACTAGGTTATGCTATAACCCCTTTATTCATCGCACCAGGAAGGGATGCTAATCCTGCCTAGCAACTAAAGATACTCCTACCTTTCTACAGTAGCATGGAGTCTCCTTGCACCGAGTCTATGGAGAGGATGCCTTAACCTTGAGTCCACACACGTTGCTTTCTGCTCCGGCACTTCCCCTGGGATGTACCTCCACCAGCTGCAGCTGCACCTTCTGTTTCCCCATGCGCTGCTTGCCCCGGGTTGATGGCACCTCTTTATTCGGTGCACTCAACGTAGTGAAACCCCGCAGATAATGTTTTGAGACATGTCAAAACCCCGCAGATAATAAGTACTGAAAAGGCTGCGCATACGTCTCCTCTCACTTTTCTCCTCCTCGATCCCCAATTCCAATGCCGTGCCAGGCGTGCTACCAGGAGACGTCGGGTGCAGGTGAGACCACCTTCAAGTCCTCGTACTCGCTGTGGGCAGATTCAACAAACAAACGAGCAGAGGAGTGAGACATGTTCCGAGATAGGATAGACTTCCCGTGCTTGCGTCAATGCCACAAAATGCAAAGCCTGCGAAGGATGCACACATGCTGTTGCCACGAGTGGCACTATCTACATGCATACATAGCATGGTATAGCAATCCAATGGTGCGATGTGTTGCTTGTGGGAAAATACTCACCCAATGTAGGGCTCGTTCCAGCCTCGCCAGTCGCCCGACCATCGCCCATCAAGCACGTAGCTCGCATCCCATATGGACGCGTACACATACATAGGCTTCACAGGGTACGGCTCTCCGTCCTTGTTCTTTGCCACACGCACCACCTTACCGTCAATCTGCCATCTGTAGAGGGGAGAGGTAGAGAGTGGGGAGAGAGATGCGGAACAGGGTTGGAGATATTGAAGCCTCACGCTGCACTGCATACACGTGATACATGGTCTTGCGCTTTGCTACACGCACCTACCTTGCTGTCAATCTGACAGCTGGGGAGGAGAGTGCAGCGGGCAGCAGAGGATGAAAGGGTTACAGAAGTGAGTGACGACAACGGAGGGGATGGTCATACGGAAGGAGATGCCACACACTAAACACAGCGTCTAAATCGTAGGTTCAGTAATTTGAGAAGGTATACAATAGTCAAATCCCATCATAGACACGTTACTGGTTCCTTAATTTTTGTTTTTTAGTCGTTTTTTTTCTTTTTTGTTGGGCCCCCCTACGAAAAAAACCACTTACACGATCTGATTCTCGTTCCAGAAGATGGTGTAGTCGTGAAAGTCCGACGAGCAGTCGAACCCTAACGGGATCAGAACCTCCCGCCCGCCCTGCCCGTTCACGTAGTAGTTTGTCTGCACCTGCGTCTTGTCCTTCCCCAGGAACTCGAAGTCGATTTCGTCCTGATCGTGGCTGCCTTCTAACGAGGATAACTGCAAGGCGCGGAAGCGGCAGGGGTCGAGGTTGAGCGACAGGTGTTCAAGACGTGTTTCATGAGTTTTCTTGATGGGGAGGTGGGTGATTTGTGATTACGCTCACGAAAAAGGGGGGAGGATATGGAAAGGGGTCTGGTAGGACTGGGGAGTTTGATGGGTAGGAAATGCGCGTGTGCCATGCACATTGACCGTCTTATAACGAGGATAAGCGAAGCGGGTCGAAGAATGCTTACACAATAGGATTGCACCAAGCCGCTGATGTCCCCCTCGGGGCACTTGATCCGCGCGCTGAAGATGCCGGATGGGTACTTTGAGGCGCCTTAAGATGAGGATAAAAAAGCGGCTCAATCAGAACGTACATCGTAAGATTGAACCAAGCCGCTGATGTCCCCATTGGGGCACTTGATCCGCGCGCTGAAGATGCCGGATGGGTACTTTGAGGCGCCTTTTCATGAGGAAAAAAGAGAGTCAATTAGAACGTACATAGTAAGACTGGACCAAGCCGCTGATGTCCCCGTCGGGGCACTTGATCCGGGCGCTGAAGATGCCCGACGGGTACTGCACGTCCGAGCGCACGCGGCTTCCGCCTGCGGGGGGAGGAGGGGGAGGTCAGGGGAAGGGGACGGGGGAGAGAGGGGGAACCCAGATTGGAGAGTGACGATCCGCGCGCTGAAGATGCCCGACGGGTACTGCACGTCCGAGCGCACGCGGCTTCCGCCTGGAAAAGAGAGAGGCGGGGGAGGGGGGGTGGGGGAAGGGAGGGGGAGGTTATGCTGGTAGTGGGGAGGGGAGGGGAGGTGGGTGAAGGGAACGGGGAAACGCGGATTGGAGCGCAATTGGAGCGCTGAGGGGAGAAGGGGGGAGGAGGTAGGGAAGAGGGGTGGAAGGTGGACGCACGGAATCGAGACTAGAGAGCACAAGCAGCCTCCCCAAATTCCCCCTTTGATATGCCCGCCAGTTCCCCGTTGCTGTTGCTCGTCCTTCGACCTTTTGCCGTTTCTCTTGTAATGGTCACCTCGTTCCAACGCTACTCCAACGGAGCCCGCTCAACACCCGCGACTCACGGCAAGGAGTTGACGTGTCCACCCGAATCTTCACATTATTGTCATCCACTTCCGAGAATTTTTCGCAGTAGTCGATATTCAAAGGATCCAACGGCTCTGCTTCGCCCTTGGTGTCGATCGGGTCCACCTCGCGATCTTTCAGCCATTGGATCCGCTGCCAGTTGGCGTTGTCGTTTTTCTTCAGGTCGGGCATCAGAAGATTTGCCGCTGTCTGCGCCGCCACCGCAAGCTCTGCCACCGACGTGTGCGGATCCGCGCTAAGGCACTCCTCAACAAGCGACCGCGCAAACGCGACTTTCCAGCCCGCTTTTACCAGCGCTCCTTTCTCCGCAAATTCAATTGCCTTGGGAATCTGAAAATGCGCCCGATACAGCAACTTCCCGCAAGAACTCGTCTCCTCCGCGCGCCTCGACGCTGTACCGAGCGTCGCCTCCATATAAGACAGCTGAAGGAGAACACTTTGGGCGCGCGCCATGCCTTTAACGGGGCCGTTGCTGCCGGGGCCCGTGGGCAGCGTCACTATCTCGCCGATTCCGTCACCAGAGTCGTTTTCGCCATCGTAACCCTTGACTTGGGCGGAATCAAGAACGACCCCCGATCCTCGCAAGAGGTGGTGCTGTCCTTTCTTGCCGGTTCGGTGGCCTTCTTTCTTCCCTTTTCCTCTCTTGTGCCCCCCCTTTTTCCGCGTCGAGTTTCCGCCGTCGCCGGTGAAGTTAGCGAGGGCGGATTGAATTTGCGCCTCGATTTGCTGCTTTTCTGATTTGGAGATGACTTTAAGGAGGTCCTTTTGCGTCATGACAGGCACTTGGTCGGGCGGAGTGACCTGCACGTGCGCGTCGCAAGGCGCGACGGCGAGCAAAGCAAGGAAGACTGCTAAGTGCGGGAGAGCGATTAGGAGGGTAGCATGCCTGGTACTGGGGAAGAGAGAATAAGTGCGAGGGGCGAACGAGCTTCTGTGAGCGACGAGAGGGCTTGTGTGGGGACTCATGGCCGCTACGTGCTGTGTTTCCGAATCGATGGAATGGATCGAGGGGCGCGTACTGCGATGTGGCGGCTATGCTGTGCAGCAGAACTACTAAACCAACTAGTCGGGAATGGCTTTGAGTTGGCCCTGGAAACTGGGTAAGATCTACAAAACGGGACGAATTTAAGTGTTCCTTAATAAAGGGCGCTCATAGCTTGCTTCCGAGGAAGGTCAAGTCGTCAAACACGGCCACTCAACAGCTTCCAGTGCTAGCGCTCGTGTGAAGGAGCGGGTTCGAGTGTGCGCCTACCGCCATTTGAAAATTCATCCTTCACAAAAATGGGTATGCTGGAGCTAGAAATGGGAGGCATCGACGAAATTCACAAACCCGCTTCCAAAATACTCCCCACGTAAACGTTGTGGAAACCCAAGTGTCTGCTGACAAAAGCCACATGCGGCTCCGCAATCCGTCCAAATTGAAATATTCACGACTCGGGAACGGACCGCGAAGCAATTGGAGGGGGACATTTGAAGGGCGGGGCTGGTTTGCATATCATCCGCGCTCCAGGGTAGCGCGACGACGAGGTCGCAACCAGCCACCCGTTCATTTTAAAACGCGATTCGGAGGTCAACACAAAACGCCCGACAAGAATTCAGCCTAAGGGCGTATTCTCAGCTTCGGGTCATCCGGTGTTTGTGTCATCCGAGAATGGTGATAGCCAATCGGAAAACTCGCGGTTTGAAATCCGATTTTTTCGATTGGATACCGCATATTTCGGATGACATGAAACCGGTATGAACCGAAGCCAGGAATACGCCCTAAGAGGTTGGAAAATTGGGTTCTTTCTGGCACTGTGTCTGGTTTTGTTCAAGGGGACAGCAAGGTATGGAGGGTTCGGGCAAAATTTAAAAAGATTCATGTGTATGAATGGCAAGCTAGCCCTCCTTGACCAAGGAAACGCCTCCCCCAGTTGCTGCTTCAACAAATAGAAGACACCCCAGTGGATTCCCGATTCAAAACTGTATCCGTTGGGACACACGCCGTATAAATAAACGAGTATTCCAATGAGAGGATGCTACACTTTTTTACACTTTTTCACTTTTTTACACTTTTTTCACCTTTTCACTTTTTTTTTTCACTTTTTCACTTTTTTTCAATTTTTTACACTTTTTTTTCACCTTTTTTATGAGTACAGATAGCATATTGTACAAATGCAACACTTCATACGTGCAACCCAGCAGTAACATCTATGTATCCGTCAAACAGTGGGTCATGGTATTTGTCTTCTCGAGGTGTACCACCATGTGAACCTTCTTCATCCACGTCTCCCGCCAACATTAGACTTTGTATCCCCGCTCGATCTGATGCTCGTGTCGGGGAGAGTGAACCCATAGCACCTACGCTTTTAAGGGAAGGAGGGGCCATGGAAGATGATGAAATCGACGAACTGAGCGTTAGTGGAAGGGGGGTAAGCGCACCAGAACCGGGCCCTCCAGGCTGGTCAAGGGTTGGAGCGCCAACGGAGGGGAGTCCATTGCCTTGGCTTGGTACTACTAATGGCGCTGCCTTCTGTTGCCCAGAAGGAAGAGGCTTCACATCAGATACAGCAGCAACTGCTGCTGGTGATCCTGGTGCTGCTGGTGGCACCACTGGTTGTGACACTGGCAGCGGTGATGGTGGAGGTGGTGGAAGTGGAGCAGGCGGAGGTGGTGGCGGTCGCACTCTAGGCTTTGCCTTGAAGTTGAGCCTGCTTTGATACGCCATTCCAAGGGACCAATTAGCAGGAACAGCATTCAGAATCGTCAGCACCTCTCCGTCGCTCGCTGTAATTCTGAAAGATAGAGACCTCCCACCGTATTTCTTGCTTTTGGAGTAATACGCGCCCCAGTTGTGCTGGAACCGCTCCCAACCCATCCCACTCCCGTCGTTCACTTCAAACCCCGATATACTCCCGACCCCCGCCACATTGTACACCAGAACTTGCAAGTAATAAGGGTTTCCGGTCATTAGGAATATTATTCCGCCCTTCTTTCTGCAGGGAACGCGCCTCATCCGCGTTTTAAGAATCCCAGCTGCTCGAATCGGGGAAAGCACCTGCCAGGCCGGTTCGCTCATATCCAGGTGCCGATGCGGAGCGTTACACACGCCGTTACCACCCGGCGGGCAGAGATTAGTAATCGTTATGATCACGCGCTTTCCGGAGCAGACCTTGAATCCGGGCGGTACGGCTGGCGAGCCAAGACACTCCACCTCGTAACATGCGCCGCAGAGTAAACCATTGTTGAAAATACCGATAGATGCTGCAGCTGTCATGGTGCCGTAACCTGTGTTGTACAGGTTACCGTAACCGCATGCGCCGCCCATGGTTCCTGTAGCATCAGGTTCACCATAAAAGGTGGCTGCTGCATGGTAATCCCAACGTCCCACGCCGAACCCGCTGCTGTTGTTGATGCTCACGCTGCTGATGCTGATGCTGCTGTTGCCATCGCTGCTGCTGCCACCACTGCCACTGTTGCCGCTGCTGCTGCCACTGTCACTGCCGCTGCTACTGTTGCTGGTTACAGGGGAAGGGATGCTGCTTCCACCACTGCCGCTGCCGCTGCTGCCGTCGCCGTCGCCGCTGCTGCTGCCGCCGCTGCCGCTGCCATTACTGCCGGCGCTGCCATTGTTGGTGATAGGAGGAGGGCTGGGTGGGAGGGCTTCAGACACAGTGGCGTTTGGGGCAGTGGGTTCGGAGACAAGCTTCTTGGGAATGCTGCTGCTGCCGCCACTGCTGGTGCTGGCTGTTCCGTTGCCTGGCACAACTGAGCCTGCTGTGTTGTTGGTGGTACTACCAGTGAGGGTAGTAGTCTTACGACTGCTCTGGCTGCTTTGACTGCTCTGACTGTTCTGACTCGACTGACTGGTCTGGCTGCTTTGACTGTTTTGACTGTTCTGACTGGTGTTGCTGCTTTGACGGCTCTGACTGCTTTGACTGCTCTGACTGTTCTGACTCGACTGACTGGTCTGGCTGTTTTGACTGGTGTTGCTGCTTTGACTGCTCTGACTGCTTTGACTGCTCTGGCTGCTCAGGCTGCTGTTGCTGGCTCTACTATCTCTGCTGCTCTGGCTGTTACTACTTGCGATGCTGCTAGCACTTCTCTTACTGTCACTGCTGCTGCTGCTACTGCTGCTGCTGCTACTGCTGCTGCTGGTACTGCTGCTGTCGCCGCTCGTTGCACCCCCGCCCGCTGCTCCCCCGCTCGCTGCTTCCCCGCTTGTTGCTCCCCCGCCACTAGCTCCCCCACCCGTTGTCCCCCCGCTAGTTGTTCCCGCACTGGTTGCTGCGCCACCGGCAGAATTCGGTTTAGTCGCACTCCCCCCCGAACCACCAGTGCCAGCGGGAGCGGGGGAAGGCATGGCGGTCGCAGAGGTTTTCTGCGCGGAAGCTGCGGACGTTGGCGGAAAGGCGGGTGCAGGCAAAGTTGTGGAACCGCTCGGAGTCTCGCCAGCGCGCTTCTGCGCACCAGTCGGCGCGGATTCCGAGGCAGCCGTGGAACTCGCGGAAGCCGTTTGAGACGTTTCAATTGCCGGGGTTGTCGCTGGAGCGGCGGAAGCTGCGGAAGTTGCGGAAGCTGCGGAAAACGCGGAGCCGCGTGGCTTGATGAGCGAAGAAAGACCAGGGGTGGCGAGGAAAGCGAGGTACGGAAGCGCGCTCGACTTGCCGCCGCGCCGCCGTTGGACTCCCGCCGCCGCCGACGCCTCGTCTGAGCCGTCGATCAGTCCACCTGTCACGATCGTAGAGGGCGACGTGCCGCTGAGAATTACGATCGGAGATTCTATGGTAGGGAAGAGAGCCGGATTGCTAGGGGATAGAGACACCAGCGCCGTCGCCGCCGTCGCCGCCGGCCCAGCCGCCGCTCCCGGTTCTAACTCTCTAGCGACACGAATACGGGAATGTGATGAATATCGGGGATGGTGAAATCCTCCTTTCGACGCGTCCGAAACAGAGTCAGACCTCTTGGTCCCCTTCCGCGGATCGACCTCTCGCGGATCGACCTCTCGCGGATCGACCTCTCGCGGATCGACTTTCCGCGGTTCGACTCCTGCTATACTCGCGACTTCGCTAATCGAACCGGGTAGTGGGGAGAACCGAGTCGTCTCGAAGGAGAATTGCGCAAGCGCGCGGAAAATCGACGGGAACAGCGGCGTGCTTGCTAGCGCCGCGTGTGGAGTGGACGCGGTAACGGATCGGTTCGTACCTGGTATACTTTTGTGGGCGGCTGAGAGGGAGCGAGAGGTTCGCACGGTCTCATGCCCAGACGCTGGTGCTGCTGGCAATAGCGGCTCAATCTCATGCCCAGATGCTGCTGCTGCTGCTTCTGCTGCTGCTGCTGCTGCTGCTGATGACACGTGCGGCGTTTGCGACATGGAAGATCCCTTAAAAATATTTCCATGCGCAGATGCTGCTGCAGACAGGCGCGGCTTGAGCCCGATAAGTAGTAGCGCAGTGACGGCGTAAACTGTCCAGATTAGCCCGGCTCTGGCGTAAAGCGCCCAGAGCCTCAAATCGGCCCGGCTCTGGTCATAACGTGATGAATATGCTCGAGAGCGGATCGCGGCCATGCGTCAGTTGCTGGAACAAAAACCGTGAATGATTTCTGGTACGCGTAGCGGAGAAACTATTTATCGTTACGTCGTTCCGGAGGAGCGAGACTCGAGAGTTGCGTTACCGCCAGAAGGAACTAGTTGCTCCTGTCCGTCCTCCGTTCACAGATCTCTGAGTCGTCTAAGGGGACACTTTGTACCAAACATATCAACGAAAATCTTAGCTGCCCGATATTTCCAATAGCCTGCGAACACCTTCGTCTGGCGAGAGTGGTGATTTTTTTAGGGAAGTGTTGGGACCGAGGAGATACTAATGCTACTACTACTTTGACTATGAGGACGCACCCCTGTGTACATAGCGTGTTCTAACAAGTACGCTGACGGCGCTGGAGTTTTAAGTGGCGTGAAAAGCGGCAGTGCACGAGCACCGTGAGAGGCGAAGAACAAACGAAAATTAGAGGTTTCAGCTACAACCACCTGTCAAACGTAAAAGAGGGCTCACTAGCCAGTTGTCAAGCGCATTACAGGTTCAAACGGCAGCTGTGACGCTTCGATGCGTTCCCTAACACCTCGCTAGCTTGAACCAACGCCAGCTAGCGGCAGACGTGATGCACGTTTTAAGATTCGCAAATTATGCCAGTTTATCTCCAGGATAATGGTCAAAGCTGCTTTTTCGAGCCTGGCGTCGCCCCCTTCTCTGTGCACGTCGCGCCTAATCCTTCTGACAAACCACCATATATGCAAGCCGGAAAACCAACGAGAAACGAGGTTTGAGGATTTCTCTAGTTTATACTGGAAACTGCGACTGCAAGCAATCCCCCCTCATTCGAGGCAGGGGCGAATTTGGGTAATGTTGAGAGAATGTCGGCACCGCGATTCGGGAAGTGGGCGAACTTTGAAATGTGGTGGTTTCTTCGTCCCCTTGCACCACAATTCAGGGGAACAGAACGGTCCGCTTAGTCAGCAAATAGAGCGCATACGTGGCGATTGTTGATGACTGATCGTGACGGCCGCTGCGTTTCCCGCCCTTTCAACGACGATGGCGAAACGGGGTTCCAACGTACCTGTTCTCCGTTTAGATGACGCAATTCCAAATACTGATATTCAGTTGTCTATAAATTAGAACCGGATAGGCCATTAATTGCCCTTCAAATTGCAAGCTGAAATTCATTAACACAACACAATGAAACCCGCTCAAAATAAGTTGCAACGGTTTTGATGAAGACTACAAGGAAGAACAAAGACATATTTCGTCAGTCCTACGTCCTACCTAATGCATAGATAAGATACTAAGGCCTAAGATGCAACTGCACCTTATCACCTGAAATGTTTTTTAGAAATCCAACTGTCTATTTTTTAGCGGATGCGAGCCGAACTCCGACGCCTTGTACGTAGTGTAGTTGATCTTCACAACTTGGAATGTATCCAAATGAAGGTGCTCATAACCAAACTTGCGTAACACTTGGTTGTCGGCAAAGTTGAATGCCCTGTGATTGACAGGCACGGAGAAAATGGTCAAGGAAAAAAGGCACATCAACTTAGGACAGACCGAGCAAGCACCGGATCTGCATTACACTTTTTATCCTGTTGTTTCCTTGCCATCTTTCCTCCATTTTTGTACCACACCGCTCTTTCCCTAATACTCTGCTTGACTTAAATTGCTGCAGGCTTGTACCCTGAACAGTTACCACTCAGTTTCGAGTCCTGAAGTGACCTGATAAATTGCTAAGCAGCCTCGCCCCACCTTGTCCAACCTCTAGCTCACACCATCCTCCATGCACTCACCTCTCCATGTCCTCAACACATCACTTGCTCTCATACTCAATCTGCCAGACCTTGCAGCACGGCTTGCAGTGACTACCCAGACTCTGCAACGTATGCACCTACCCCTACCCCTACCCCACCAACACACCCACCTCTCCATGTTCTCAACGCATCGCTGTGTCTCCTCATACTCAATCTGCCCAATCTTGCCGCACGGCTTGCAGTGACAACACAGACTTTGCAATGTACACACCTACCCCTACCCCTACCCCTACCCCTACCCCTCCATACACCCACCTCGCCATGCTCTCCACACATTGCTGTGTCTCCTCATACTCAATCTGCCTGCACCCCACAACGAGAACACCCAAGCCTTGCAATGCAACCTTGCTCAACGCACCTCCATGTTCTCCACGCATCGCTCTGTCTCCCAATACTCAATCTGCCTGATCTTGACGCACGGCTTGCACCCCACAAAAAGACTACCCAAGCCTTGCAATGCAACCCTCCTCCATGCAAACACCACCCCTTACCCTTTCATGCACTCACATTATATCACCCCTCCATGCACGCACCTCTCCATGTTCTCAACGCATCGCTGTGTCTCCTCGTACTCAATCTGCCCGATCTTGCCGCACGGCTTGCAACCCACAAAGTGGGTAATCAGAGGCCACCGGTGGTCCCCATACCCCGGATGGTACTTGTCCATCAGCTCCTCGTAGCTGCGAGCAAGGGGGGAGGGGGGGAAAGGAGGAAGGGGGTGAAGAAGCGGGAGGGAGATGGGACAGGGTATGAGCGGCCAGCAGTGATCCCCGTACCCCGGGTGGTACTTGTCCATCAGCTCCTCGTAGCTGCGGGTCAAGGGAAATTAGAGAGTGAGTCAGGTAAGTGTACAATCAATGAGAGACCACCGATGATCGCCGTACCCCGGGTGGTACTTGTCCATCAGCTCCTCGTAGCTGTCAAGGGAGGGGGTGGAGAACATGTGCAAGGGGAGGACGGCGCGCAGTGGAGGGTAAGTGGGTAATCAGCGGCCACCGATGATCGCCGTACCCCGGGTGGTACTTGTCCATCAGCTCCTCGTAGCTGCAGGTGGGGGGCGGAGAACATGTGCAAGGGAGAGCAGTGGGAAGGACACACAGCGAGCAGTGGAGGGTAAGGGAGTAATCAAAGCTGCGAAAGGGAGTAACGCCACATATGCAGCGGCAAGAGACTTACTGTGGAGTGATGGTGGGCCAGGAGTGCAACATGAACGAACTCTCTAGGTACGTAGCCCTTGGCATACACATACGCCTACCGTCCTCTTTCTCATCACTCCATGAGACTAACTGCGGGGTGATGGTGGGCCAGAAGGAGTGCAGCATGAACGAGCTCTCCAGTTAGATGCTCTTGGGTCACAGACGCATACACCCACAAATACACACTCCCTGTCCCTTCATACAGCACACCCTTGACTGCCTTAACTCACTGTGGAGTGATGGTGGGCCCGAAGGAGTGCAGCATGAACGAGTTTCCCAGGTGGATGCCCTTGGCTCACATGCTCACATCCCCTTCCTTCTCCTTACTCACACTCTTAGTCTGACAGAGGAGCGACTTACTGCGGGGTGATAGTGGGCCAGAAGGAGTGCAGCATGAACGAGTTCTCCAGGTAAATGCCCTTGGCATACATGCTCATACACACTCCAAGCCCTTTTTGTAAGCACACCATCGATCTGATTGTATTGACTCACTGTGGGGTGATGGTGGGCCAGAAGGAGTGCAGCATGAACGAGCTCTCCAGGTAGATGCCCTTGGCGTATTTCTCCGGGTGATACGCCATCATCCACACTATGGCGCTCTGATCGTCGCCCTCGAACATGGGGCGAGTCTGAGAGAGATGAGGGGAGGAGTGGGGGGGGAAAAAAAAACACGGACAGGAAAGAGAAGCAGCACGATAACAGTGGACCCTTGTGCTTGTGAACGGGAACTAGAAAAACAGAAATGGAATGCTTACCGAGAGTTCCTTGAAGAGCTTCACACCTGCTGCATCCCTCATCGGCCCCTTCACCCCAAACTGTGCCAAGTCCTCCATGAAGTCCAGGGACCACTGCAGGAGAAAGCGGGCAGAATGGGAAAAAAAGGGGCGTTGGGAGAGGGATTCAAAGGTGCTGGGACACGGAGAAAGGGAAGGCAGGGCCCTGCGCTAAGTCCTCCATGAAGGTCAGGGAACACTGGGTGGAAGAGAGGAGAAGGCGGGCAAGGCGCTGCAAGAAGGGGGGATGAGAGTAGGATTTGGAGAGAGCGAGTACAGGCCCCTTCACTCTGAGCTGAGCCAAAATAAGGCATGGATTGAAAAGCGAAGAGATGTCCACAGGTGGTTGTGGACATGGGCGCATGAAGATCAGGAGACGGGGAAGGTGGTGGTGATGATTCTGGGATTTAACAAGAAAACGCGATCTGACAGGGAGGAGGATGGGTGATGGTGGTGGTTGTGGTCGTCGGTTGTCGTGGTTGTGGCTTTGACTGACCTGTGAGTTTCGGATGAGGTAGATACCAGCGTTGAGCCCCACCCTGTGATGCACAATGGCATGGCATGCGGTGGCATGGTGTGGCGTGGTGGCGCGGCATGGAAAACACAGAATGACACGAGAGAAGTCAGGAGCTTGATATGCCTCATGAGCGCATCAAGTGAAGCTATGCATTCGTACTGCAGCAAGCGTGTGGCACTAGCATGACAAGGCACCTCATGGCATGGCATCGCATGGCATGGCATCTCATGGCATGGCACCTCATGGCATGGCATCTCATGGCATGGCACCTCATGGCATGGCACCTCATGGCATGGCATCTCATGGCATGGCATCTCATGGCATTGCATCTCATGGCATGGCATCTCATGGAAAGGCATCTCATGGCATGGCATCTCATGGCATGGCATCTCATGGCATGGCACCTCATGGCATGGCATCTCATGGCATGGCACCTCATGGCATGGCATCTCATGGCAAGGCATCTCATGGCAAGGCATCTCATGGCAAGGCATCTCATGGCAAGGCATCTCATGGCATGGCATCTCATGGCATGGCATCTCATGGCATGGCATCTCATGGCATGGCATCTCATGGCATGGCATCTCATGGCGTGGCATCTCATGGCATGGTGTTGCACGGCACGGCACGGCATGGCACGGCATGGCGTGGCATGGTATGGTATGGTATGGCGTGACACGGCACGGCACGGCACAGCGGCTTAGGGCATTGCATGACGAGTGAGTTATATCCATCCATCAGCAAGAGGGCTTGGGTGGGTGTTGACAAAGTCAAACAGCCTCTAGAGTGCTCACCAGACCTGCCATAGACGAGCAAGTCATATCCATGCATCACCAGGTGAACGTGGTTGATGTGAAACACAATGCTAACAGTCTCTAACTTTCCAAGGAGCTCACCAGTCCTTCTTGCCGTAGACCAGCGAGTCGTATCCATGCATCACCATGTGAACGTGTGGCTCATACTTCTCAAACGGCACATCAAACGTCATGTCTGTTGGGGGTGGGGGGTAGGGCAGGGGAAAAAGGAGGAATGGTGCAGGGAAAACATCAGCATCAGTAACCGTGCATCACCATGTGAACGTGTGACTCGTACTTCTCAAACGGCACATCAAACGTCATGTCTGCAGGAGGCAGGGCAGGGTGACGAAAGATGGAGAAATGGAGAGAGATGTGAAAGGGGAAGGGCGTGAGGTAGAGCGCTCGAGACGCTTCAGAGTCGAGAGGGTTGAGGCTTGCACCTAATAAACGGCACACAACTCATTTGCGCCCATTTCCAGCCCAGCCATCCATTCTCATCACAACAGCCCTTTTCCCTCATCCGCGAACTCAGAACAACAACCAAGTCTCATTAACAAGAACCACTATGCTTTCCACGCGAAAGGATCAGATTTTTGCCCCTCTGAAGTTCTCGATGCACACTGGCACAGCACCTTCTCAAACCAGACTTCACCGCACTACACCCACTCACACATGTGAAAACAGAATCCGAGCCCATCCACCAGAACCATTCCACCTCAGTGTGCTACAGCATTAACTTGCGCAGCAGCGGCAGCTCACACCAGCAAACCTGTGCACCGTTCACCAATGCTTCACACCCCTCTCTCACAGTCACCACCTCCTCCGCATTGCACTCCTCTCTCCCTCGCCTGCACCGCACTACACCCAGTCCCACCTGTGAACACGGCGTCCGAGTCCATCCGCCAGAACCACCCCACCTCGGTGTGGGACAGCATCAGCTTGCGCAGCAGCAGCGATTCTTACCACTGCACCCCACTGCCTTACACCCCTCTCTCGTAGCCAGCACCGCTCTGCACCGCACAACACCCACTCTCACCTGTGAACACGGCGTCCGAGTCCATCCACTAGAACCACTCCACCTCGGCGTGCGACAGCATCAGCTTCTTGCCCTCTGAAACATCTCAATGCACACCTCCCAGCACCTCTTTTGAACCAGCTTTCACCGCGCTGCACCACCGCTCACCTGTGAACACGGCGTCCGAGTCCATCCACCAGAACCACTCCACCTCGGCGTGCGACAGCATCAGCTTGCGCAGCAGCGGCAGCTTCACCCAGAACGAGTCCATGGAGCGATCCAGAATGGCCGTGCTGTAGTAGATCTGATAGGAAAGTAAGGACGACAGGAGGGAGGCAGGGGAGAGAGCGAGTGTAAGGGTTCACGGCAGTAGCGGCAGCTTCACCCAGAACGAGTCCATAGAGCGATCCAGAATGGCCGTGCTGTAGTAGATCTGACAGGAGAGTAAGGACGACAGGAGGGAGGCAGGGGAGAGAGAGTGGGATAGCGGACACGGGTCAAGGATCTCCCTGAACGAGTCCATAGATCTGATAGGAGAGCGGAGCACAACGGGTGCGGGAGGGAAACGCGAAGGGGGAGGGGGGGGGGGGAGTTGGAGGGTGGCGGGTGAAGCTTCACCAGAATGAGTGCTGATAGTAGATCTGCCATGGAGTTTTCAATATAGTCACCTCTTGACAGCTGGCCCACGGCGAGCAGGGCTCGATACAGTCACGTCGTACCTGAATGTCCCGCGGCGAGCAGTAGTCGAGCTTGTTCTTGAGCGACTTGAGCAGCAGAAAGTCGCCCACGTCGTTGTCGCACACGCCCGGCTGCGACCCCGTCACCAGCATCACGCGCGCCTTGCCCTGCCGCGTCTCGTTGCAACCGGGGTGCTTCCGCACGTAGTCCGCGCGCTGCTCGTCCCAGTCTGCGCGGGGGAGGGGGGGGGAGGGAGAGGGGAGGGGGAGAAAGATGAGACATCTGAGTCGATTCCCTACTCATTGCTCCCTTCCGCACGTAGTCCGCGCTCTGCTCGTCATACTCTGCGAGAGGAAGGAGGGGCGAGAAAAGGAGGGGAACGAGCCGCCGAGCAGGAAAAGTGAGAAGGGAAGGGTTAAACAAGAAATGGGAACGGGGAGGAGCGAACCAAGTGAGTCCAACGTAGCGACCCTCAACTGGGAAGGAGGGGAACGAGCCAGTGAGAAGGGAAGGGTTAAACAAGAAATGGGACGGGGAGGAGCGAAGCAAGTGAATTCAACGAAGCGACCCCGGACTGTAGTCCGCACAAGGAAAACGAGCACAAAAAAAGGACCATTGACCAGCACGCAAAACTATTGGGCTTATGGTCGAATCGACTCAACTGTCTCACCTGTCTCACCTTCCCCCCCCCCCCCCCCCCCGCGCCCCCCCCCCCCTACCTCTCCCATCTCAACAAACGACTTGCAATGGCAGACACGCACGGGTAACCTTCATACTCGGTGACTTTTGAATCGACTCAAAACACACGCACCGGTAATCTTCGGTCCCAGCAGGTACCGCTCCCCTTTGGGCGGCTGCGTGTTCGGCATGGACTCGTTCATCTCCCGCTTGTCGCGCGCCCGCTGCTCCTTCCGCCATCGCTCCACCGCCGCGCGCACCATCCGCCTCTGCGCCTCGCGATCCTCCGCCTGTCAGAAAGACGGGGCGCAATCGCGGACATGACAAGTGAAGATCGACGTTTCAATCCAGGAGCCTTTGAGACGACTTAAAAACTCCAATAGAGACGCAGCCACCCACGGCGTACCGATTACGTAGATATAGGAATTGCCAAAGGCAAACCCAACAGTGACCCGGCCGTTCACGGACGGATATAAGGATCGACGTTCCTACTGAAAATCCTCAAAAGAATCTCCAAAAAAGACAGGCCATTTACGGACGTACCAAGTAAGATTCGACGCCTCTATCCGAAAGGCTCTCGTGCATTTTCAAAAGCAACTACGGACGTGCACGTCCCCTTATGGACGTGCTTCGGAAATTGACTCCAGGGTTTTCGTCAGACTCGCCAGAGTGAAAAAAGCAGACGAGTGAGCATCGCTGAAGGTTTGAGTCGTCTAAATTATCATGCCTAAATCAATCCGCACTAAACAAATAGTGATTCAGCGACAGGGGGCTCGCACGAAACTGGAAACGCGAATCAGACTTCTGGTCCACCATGTCCCAAATCAACATCACCACGCCCAGTCCTTATTCGATCTTGTAGGGTTACCGCCACTCGGAGCAGGGTTACACATGTATATCCAGAGCTTGCGAGGCGACTTGCAAGCTACCGTTAGAACTGGAAGCCTCGTTATAAGAGAAGATTAAGGAGGAAATGGGACAGAACATGCGATACCTGTGACGGAGCTTCTAACAGACGCCTCCGCGGCCCTCTCGAGATTTCGTCGGCAACTGATACTCCCGACTGGTGGACCATCGCGTCGGATAGGAACTCTTCCGGCGGCGGGACGGACGGCAGGAGGTGGAAGCGTTGGCTTAGGCCGAGAACGAGGAGGAAGACGAAGCAGGTTAGGAGGTCCATCCTATTGAATATCGCGGACGCCATGGCCCGGAATCGATCTATCCTACAGCTGGTCTTACGTATTCCCCTGCGTCCTCGTAGCAAGGGACCTTATCGTGTGAGTAGTTCTGGGCATGCAAGAGCAGGCGTCGGCTATAATTACGATTGGCTTGCACGATTCTGCTCAAGTTAATTGTTCTACGAGCGGCTCGTAATGGCCGCGATCGGCGCTTCTGAATCGGGACAAATAGAAAGAGCTAATAAAATACCCCAATAAACTTGTCACTATCCTGTGGTCTTTCTGACACACACCGGGACAAATAGAAGTAACTAATAGAATAACCCAATAAACTTGTCACTATCCTGTGGTCTTCCTGACAATCAGCTACCCAACACCATAGTCGTGCTAGTTTTTGTGGAGATAAGGGAACAACAAATGAGCTCAAGCTACGGAAGCAAGAATCAGGTGAGTTCGAGGCTGGAAGTTGGGGTAAGGATGATCTCGAGGTTCACAGGACAAACGCCCAGAGCTCATCCCCGCTGTCAACGAAGAGGACACGTGCCTACCATCCGTTTGTTGCGACACGGGCTGCCTCTGTCCGAGCCTACCGGTGCGTAACAAGCCTATTTGGGCAGGCTTGGAGCAGTCAGAACTAGTTTGGCTCTGCGAGGCATAGGTTGTGGTTCCCTTCACCTTCAGTCACTGGCACGAGGAGGTTGTGACAAAGTGCACGCGGGAACGATATTGATTGGCTGCAGAATGAAGTTGAGCACACTGTACCCTGGTCAAAGGCGGAGCGCCGCGGTGTCGAAGCGTCTTGTCTCGTCCGACTGCAAGCAGCATTCAACGCAAGTTCGATAACGGCCTCCTCGATAACGCTAGCATACCACACGAACAAGTGATTAAAGGTACAACCACATCTACAATGACTTCAATTCCACTTCACTTCGTGTTCTCCATTGCATTGGCACTAGCAGTAGATTCTACTCAGGGTTCTGGCTTCATTGCACTTAAAAATGAGAAACATTAGCATCACAGCTTGACCAGGAAACATAATGCCAACACTTGAGCCCATCCTCATCCTATTGCTTCAGAAGGGGCTTGTAAAACTCGCCCCACCCACAGAAGCTGAGCAGGAGCGGGTACTGCCATACAGAGGCATCTAACCTTGAGCAATGGCCTGACTTGAATAATTTTGGCCCAAGAGCGCATGCCCGAGTCTCATTTACACAGCGGGAGGAGGGGCCCCAGGAGCACCGGGAGCGCTGCCATAGTCGCCACCACCATATCCCCCAGCTCCACGGCCAAAGCCACCGCGGCCGCCACCCTGGGGTGCATTCAGGAAAGAGAAGAATCAAGTACAACTTAAATACATTGTCAACTTGAAATGCAAGTCAAGACTGAAGCACCGTTGCGGCTGCCACTCCACAAGAAAACATTTCAGCACCGTAGGACCAGAGGAGCAGTAAGAACAGGAAAGCGGCCAAGATCCATTCACAAAAGCAAGCTGTATGGCTGTGGGGAAGCCAGGTGTACTGACCTCCCTGAAGGCTGGCTTGTACGCGCCCGGAGCACCGGCCTTGTCGTCACCACCGGCACCGTACCCGCGGTATCCCTCGCGATCCCCATAGCCCCTTCCACCCTCGAAACGGCTGGTGAATGCAGAAATGGAAAGAAGGGAACGAAGTCAACAATAGGACAGACCTCCCTTATAACAGGTTGAGAAGGAACAGGTGGTGGAATGGTTTTGTTCCCCCAAGTCCTTGGAAATGGGAGAGGGCGGGGAAGTCAGGGAAATAAAAATGGGGAAGTCAGGGAAGTAAATGATTTATTTCACAGGGGCAACGGGGATTTAAGGAAGGACTACAAATCTCCACCACTGGAACTGCATTGAATGAGCCTTCTTCAGGGCAAAAGGGTTATTTCTGGAGGGGCCTTACTCCACAATTGACCAACGTTGACTGGCGTTAACTGGCGTTCACTTACCGAGGCGGGCGGTCGCCACCGGCACCCAAGGAGCGGCCGGGCGGGCGGGAGGACTTCTTCAGGGTGGTGGGGACAATCTCAGAGGGTTTTTACCCCACGTTTTACCTGCGCTGACCTGCGTTGACCAGCGTTGATCAGCGGTGACCGAAGTTGACTGTCGTTGACTCACCGGGGAGGGCGGTCGCCGCCAGCGCCCATGGGGCGGCCGGGCGGGCGGGAGGACTTCTTGAGGGTGGCGGGTACGATCTCAGAGGGGAGGTTGAGGTAGTCGCGCAGGTGCTCGATGCCCTCGTTGGTGAGGTACCAGTAGTAGTGCCGCCACGCGAACGTCTCGCGCACAAACCCCTTCGACTTGAAGCTCTGCATCAGCTTGATCACCTGGGGGGGGGGGGGGGGGGGGGGGGGGGGGGGGGGGGGGAACGGAGGAGGGGAGGGGAGGGAGGACGGGGGGGAAACGGGAGAAAGGAGGGCGGAAAGGGGGAAGGGGAAGGAAGGAGGGTAAGAAAAGAGGGGGAGGGGAGGTTGAGGTAGTCGCGCAGGTGCTCGATGCCCTCGTTGGTGAGGTACCAGTAGTAGTGCCGCCACACAAACGTCTCGCGCACAAACCCCTTCGACTTGAAGCTCTGCATCAGCTTGATCACCTGGGGGGAGAGGGGGATTGGAGGGGGGGGAGGGGGAGCGGAAAAAGGGTGGGGGAATGGAAGGGGGAGGGTTGGAGGTGGGTGGCGGAGAGGGAGTGGAGGGCGGGGAGATGATGGGGGAAGGGTGGGTGGAGGGGTTGCGGGTAATATTATGAGACAACCAGGGCCACGGACCAGGCATTAAGGACAGGGGATAATGGTATGCATCACAAGGCTGCGGATTAAGAGCACTCACTTGCAGGTTGGGGACCTCGAGCTCGGGGTGCTTGGGCAGGTTGAAGTCCTTCTCCGCGAACAGGACTCCCTCTGCGATGGGAGAAAGGGATGGGAGAAAGGGGGCGGAGGAGGGGCCGGGGGATGAGCGAAAGGGGAAACGCGGATCGAAAGAGGTGAGAAAACCGCAAGAAAACGGGAGTTCTTGAGGTGGCAGTTGCGGCGGGGGGAGAAGAGGGGGACGAGAGCACCCCTGGATTTTGAGAAGTCTCCCAGACAGCTCAACTCTCCTGGAACTCAGAATGATAAACTCGTTCCACACTATTCTTCCACTACGCGTTCCTCTGCCGGCAAAAAAACATCCCATCTCGTCAGGAAAGTGGAACGAAAATGTCTCTTAAGGTGGCGTGCTCGGCTTATGCAGCTTGCCATTTTCGATGATTCGAGGCTCGCATTAAGCGTTCCATCTAGAAGCGCGAAGACCTGATCCCGCGTCACAACAATTGAAGCAAACCCCATCGTGGTCGTTACTAGGATGTCGACTACTGAGACAACTTCTGAGACGGCTGAACAAATCGAATCGTCGTGCTGCGGTTTTCCCGCTCGGGTCGACAGGCCACTGTGGAGAGTACAGCGAGTGATGCGACTCATGGCACATCACTCAGTTCAGCGTCGCACGCTAAGATTCGCGGATCAGGCGCGCACGTTGCACAGATAGGGGACGCGCCGACGCTTCGTCTCAAACTAACGGCAAACCTCGAACCTTTTGCCGCACCGCCACCACCAAATCTGGAGCATCTCGAGTATTAATACGACCTCTGTAATCATGAAATCAGCTCTGGCTCACGGATGAGTCTCTCCTACTTTGCTGCCTTTCCGTAACGACCGTCCACGATGATCAAACAATCTTGTGGTCCAAGTGACAAGGACCCTGCCATCCCGTTCTCCCCGTCTTCCATCTCCGCCTCTCCTTTTCCCTTTCTTCCCATTCGCTTTATCTGTCCGCACAAGACGTCGTCGTTTTGACCCGATTTGACCCACTCTGACCCGCGCTCACTCTCCTTGACCAACATCTTCCTCTCCACCCTCCCCTCCCCCCACCCCCTCCCCCCACCCCCTTTCCCCATTCCCTCCACTTAGGGATCTGTTAAACGGCACAGGCAAGGGTAAAGCGCCACTGAAAGCACGGAAAGGTTCACAGGAACGCCAGGATGGGGAGTGGAGCAGACGAAGCGAGAATGGGATGAGGGAGGAGGGGAGAGGGGAGCACCACGGAAAAGATACCTCAAGAGAGGTGGCGAGGGACGCGGGGACTTGGGGAACGAGGTGGAGGACTCACCGCTGAAGAGGTACTTGTAGACCAAGAGACGGTTCTTTTTAGGGACCAACTGTAATCACGAACGGAAAAGACAGGGAAAACGGGATAGGATGGAAATCATGAGTCTAAAGAGCAAGATTATCAATCAGTTTCGGTCTGCTTCACGTAGTTGATTCATGCATCGGTTTTGCGAAACTGCACGAAGCTGTAGTCGTTGAGTCGTGTAGCACCGTCGGTACAGGCGGGATACTACCAGGGACACTACCGATACCCTGTACTATCCGTCCACTCGCCCGGCAAAAACTCAGCAATCGGGCTGGAGATGACTTCATTACGCCGATCATGAAGCAAGCTATAGACGGGGCTTGAAACACATAGACACTCTGTGAAATGTCCAAGGCGTTTCGAACTACACGGCTAACGGCAAGCCTCTAAGCTTAACTTGGCCAAGGGAACCAAGACGTCAGGGCCAATGGCAAGAATTCCAGGCTATGACAAACCCGGGTCATGGGGGCATCCGATTTATATCAACACGAAGCGACCCATTTGTCGATGAGACTACGTAAAGGGCTGAGACATCTAACCCTAAATTTGGTGCATGACAACGCTTACACCCTAAAACCAGGTCACGGAACCCTGTCAAACAGCGCGAGGCTAAAACGAAATAGAAGCCACATGAGTTTCCGAAGCGTACCATCTTGCCCGACCGCAGCTGGATCCGCGGAAGACGGGGTAATACTAGTTAGAGAGTGAGGTAAGAGAAAGGGCTCAAGGCGGAGCTCGAGGGAGGAAAGGGGAGAAAGGTAGAGCAGAGTGAATGAAAATGGAGCAGCAGCAGCGAGGGGAGCAGCCGAGCAGGGTGGGGAGCAACAGAGCAGAGAGGAGCAGGTGAGGGGGCGAGCGGGAAACTTGGGAGAGTGGCAGGGAGGAAAGGCAAGCCCGAGGGGGGAGGGAGTGGAGAGGTGGAGAGCGGCGAAAGGCTTGACCAGAGGGCAGAAGGATTTTCGAGGGCTGGAGGATTGCGGTGTGGTACTTTAGGGGCAGGCGCACTGAGCGTTACCATTCCGGGAAATTGCTAAGTTCCGGATGTGAAAGCAGGAAAAATTCGCCGGTGTGTGGGCATTCATGCGCTCGCGCTTAGTAAGATGGGTTGTCGACGACGGAAAGATGGAATTTCGAGGGTCTGGAATATGGAAATTCGTTTGTTTTGTCGCATGAAACGTTTTCACCGAGGTTGTGGCGCACCACCACAGAACTGTTGTTGCGCTGTGAAGAAAACCACAATAAGCCCAATATTTGCTAGCGCAAGGTTATTTGCAAAATTAGCAAACATAGCTTCTCCTAGTTGTAGCATCAATTACGGTAGCACCCCACCAGTAACATGCTGGCCATCTATATCTGATGGCACTACAAGTGCACACAGTATGTGGGGTATCATCCCTAACTGTACACATGTGATGCAGTATAAATTCTCTTACTTACATTATGGAGACGATGCTCAACACAAATATCACTAGTGACCAACACATCCAACACCACCAAATGTTCAGAAAGGGTGCACTTTTAACAGAGGCAAGTACATGGATTTTCAAGCATTTCAGCACTACACATATACTTTCCAATGCCACGTGTAGCCAGATTCTACAACAACCAGCCAGCCACCCACCTGTGCCCAACCCCACTGTAAACCTACACCGAACACAGTGTTCTTCAACCCCTAGTCCACCTAGATTACTCTGAGAAGGGATCACTCTGCTCACTACTACTTCACAGGAACAGCAGCAGAAGCCACATCAGAGTCGATAGAACCACTGCTGCCTTTCTTCCCAGCAACCCATCTGTATCCTACTCGGATAGGCTGCTCAAACCCTGATGCATAATCACTGCCTCTTCACACCACCGGTAACACCAGCAGCAGTAGTAGCAGAGCCAATTGAGCCACTACCGCCCACCCTCCCAGCAGCCCATCTGAATCCTTCACAGATAGGCTGCTCAAACCCTGATGCGTGCTCACTGCCGCTGCTCACTGCTTCTTCCCAGAAACAGAGGCAGCAGTCACAGCAGACCCTATAGACCCACTGCTACCCGTCTTCCCAGCAGCCCACTTGTATCCCGCTTTCTCCCTTATCTCCCTCACACCCCTATCCATCACCCCTTTTCCTACCCTCACCATTCTACCAGCCTCCTCTCTCCCCATTGCCACCATCCTCTTCCCCACCTCCCTCACTCCCTCGATCCTCCTCGCCACCTCCCCTCCCATTAGCTGCCGCACCATCCTTGCACCTTCCTTCAATTCCCCCGCCGCCCGCTCGAAACCCATATCCTGCAGCTTCTGCACCTTCCTGGCAGCTTCCTCTGCCTTCTCCACCACCAACCGCTGCAGGCTGCCGTCTGCCACGCTGCCAGCCAGGCTGGACGCCACGTCAGCAGAACGCTCTTTGATTCTGATCAGATTCTTGGCAGCGCCGTGTTTCGCCTCCTCTGCTCTCTGTTGAATCAAATCCGCCCACCATCCCGGGGGGAGAATAGCGGGTTCTTGGATGCTGAAGGGAAGTGGTAATTGGGAGGGTGGGGTTGGGTGGTGGAGGGGGAGAACGGTGAAAGGGAGTACGTATGGGTTTGGAGAAACAGAGTGAAGGACGCATCCAGAATGGAAACAGGTAAAAGATCTTCTGGTGGTGCCACGCTGTGCCTGCTGTGCAGGCATCGACACCATCGGAAGATCTTCTGGTGGTGCCACGCTGTGCCTGCTGTGCAGGCATCGACACCATCGGAAGATATTCTGGTGGTGCCACGCTGTGCCTGCTGTGCAGGCATCGACACCATCGGAAGATATTCTGGTGGTGCCACGCTGTGCCTGCTGTGCAGGCATCGACACCATCGGAAGATATTCTGGTGGTGCCACGCTGTGCCTGCTGTGCAGGCATCGACACCATCGGAAGATATTCTGGTGGTGCCACGCTGTGCCTGCTGTGCAGGCATCGACACCATCGGAAGATCTTCTGGTGGTGCCACGCTGTGCCTGCTGTGCAGGCATCGACACCATCGGAAGATATTCTGGTGGTGCCACGCTGTGCCTGCTGTGCAGGCATCGACACCATCGGAAGATCTTCTGGTGGTGCCACGCTGTGCCTGCTGTGCAGGCATCGACACCATCGGAAGATATTCTGGTGGTGCCACGCTGTGCCTGCTGTGCAGGCATCGACACCATCGGAAGATCTTCTGGTGGTGCCACGCTGTGCCTGCTGTGCAGGCATCGACACCATCGGAAGATATTCTGGTGGTGCCACGCTGTGCCTGCTGTGCAGGCATCGACACCATCGGAAGATCTTCTGGTGGTGCCACGCTGTGCCTGCTGTGCAGGCATCGACACCATCGGAAGATCTTCTGGTGGTGCCACGCTGTGCCTGCTGTGCAGGCATCGACACCATCGGAAGATATTCTGGTGGTGCCACGCTGTGCCTGCTGTGCAGGCATCGACACCATCGGAAGATATTCTGGTGGTGCCACGCTGTGCCTGCTGTGCAGGCATCGACACCATCGGAAGATATTCTGGTGGTGCCACGCTGTGCCTGCTGTGCAGGCATCGACACCATCGGAAGATATTCTGGTGGTGCCACGCTGTGCCTGCTGTGCAGGCATCGACACCATCGGAAGATATTCTGGTGGTGCCACGCTGTGCCTGCTGTGCAGGCATCGACACCATCGGAAGATATTCTGGTGGTGCCACGCTGTGCCTGCTGTGCAGGCATCGACACCATCGGAAGATATTCTGGTGGTGCCACGCTGTGCCTGCTGTGCAGGCATCGACACCATCGGAAGATCTTCTGGTGGTGCCACGCTGTGCCTGCTGTGCAGGCATCGACACCATCGGAAGATATTCTGGTGGTGCCACGCTGTGCCTGCTGTGCAGGCATCGACACCATCGGAAGATCTTCTGGTGGTGCCACGCTGTGCCTGCTGTGCAGGCATCGACACCATCGGAAGATCTTCTGGTGGTGCCACGCTGTGCCTGCTGTGCAGGCATCGACACCATCGGAAGATCTTCTGGTGGTGCCACGCTGTGCCTGCTGTGCAGGCATCGACACCATCGGAAGATCTTCTGGTGGTGCCACGCTGTGCCTGCTGTGCAGGCATCGACACCATCGGAAGATATTCTGGTGGTGCCACGCTGTGCCTGCTGTGCAGGCATCGACACCATCGGAAGATATTCTGGTGGTGCCACGCTGTGCCTGCTGTGCAGGCATCGACACCATCGGAAGATATTCTGGTGGTGCCACGCTGTGCCTGCTGTGCAGGCATCGACACCATCGGAAGATATTCTGGTGGTGCCACGCTGTGCCTGCTGTGCAGGCATCGACACCATCGGAAGATATTCTGGTGGTGCCACGCTGTGCCTGCTGTGCAGGCATCGACACCATCGGAAGATCTTCTGGTGGTGCCACGCTGTGCCTGCTGTGCAGGCATCGACACCATCGGAAGATCTTCTGGTGGTGCCACGCTGTGCCTGCTGTGCAGGCATCGACACCATCGGAAGATATTCTGGTGGTGCCACGCTGTGCCTGCTGTGCAGGCATCGACACCATCGGAAGATATTCTGGTGGTGCCACGCTGTGCCTGCTGTGCAGGCATCGACACCATCGGAAGATATTCTGGTGGTGCCACGCTGTGCCTGCTGTGCAGGCATCGACACCATCGGAAGATATTCTGGTGGTGCCACGCTGTGCCTGCTGTGCAGGCATCGACACCATCAGAAGATATTCTGGTGGTGCCACGCTGTGCCTGCTGTGCAGGCATCGACACCATCGGAAGATATTCTGGTGGTGCCACGCTGTGCCTGCTGTGCAGGCATCGACACCATCGGAAGATATTCTGGTGGTGCCACGCTGTGCCTGCTGTGCAGGCATCGACACCATCGGAAGATCTTCTGGTGGTGCCACGCTGTGCCTGCTGTGCAGGCATCGACACCATCGGAAGATATTCTGGTGGTGCCACGCTGTGCCTGCTGTGCAGGCATCGACACCATCGGAAGATATTCTGGTGGTGCCACGCTGTGCCTGCTGTGCAGGCATCGACACCATCGGAAGATCTTCTGGTGGTGCCACGCTGTGCCTGCTGTGCAGGCATCGACACCATCGGAAGATATTCTGGTGGTGCCACGCTGTGCCTGCTGTGCAGGCATCGACACCATCGGAAGATATTCTGGTGGTGCCACGCTGTGCCTGCTGTGCAGGCATCGACACCATCGGAAGATCTTCTGGTGGTGCCACGCTGTGCCTGCTGTGCAGGCATCGACACCATCGGAAGATATTCTGGTGGTGCCACGCTGTGCCTGCTGTGCAGGCATCGACACCATCGGAAGATATTCTGGTGGTGCCACGCTGTGCCTGCTGTGCAGGCATCGACACCATCGGAAGATATTCTGGTGGTGCCACGCTGTGCCTGCTGTGCAGGCATCGACACCATCGGAAGATCTTCTGGTGGTGCCACGCTGTGCCTGCTGTGCAGGCATCGACACCATCGGAAGATCTTCTGGTGGTGCCACGCTGTGCCTGCTGTGCAGGCATCGACACCATCGGAAGATCTTCTGGTGGTGCCACGCTGTGCCTGCTGTGCAGGCATCGACACCATCGGAAGATATTCTGGTGGTGCCACGCTGTGCCTGCTGTGCAGGCATCGACACCATCGGAAGATATTCTGGTGGTGCCACGCTGTGCCTGCTGTGCAGGCATCGACACCATCGGAAGATCTTCTGGTGGTGCCACGCTGTGCCTGCTGTGCAGGCATCGACACCATCGGAAGATATTCTGGTGGTGCCACGCTGTGCCTGCTGTGCAGGCATCGACACCATCGGAAGATCTTCTGGTGGTGCCACGCTGTGCCTGCTGTGCAGGCATCGACACCATCGGAAGATCTTCTGGTGGTGCCACGCTGTGCCTGCTGTGCAGGCATCGACACCATCGGAAGATATTCTGGTGGTGCCACGCTGTGCCTGCTGTGCAGGCATCGACACCATCGGAAGATCTTCTGGTGGTGCCACGCTGTGCCTGCTGTGCAGGCATCGACACCATCGGAAGATCTTCTGGTGGTGCCACGCTGTGCCTGCTGTGCAGGCATCGACACCATCGGAAGATCTTCTGGTGGTGCCACGCTGTGCCTGCTGTGCAGGCATCGACACCATCGGAAGATCTTCTGGTGGTTCCACGCTGTGCCTGCTGTGCAGGCATCGACACCATCGGAAGATCTTCTGGTGGTGCCACGCTGTGCCTGCTGTGCAGGCATCGACACCATCGGAAGATCTTCTGGTGGTGCCACGTTGTGCCTGCTGTGCAGGCATCGACACCATCGGAAGATCTTCTGGTGGTGCCACGCTGTGCCTGCTGTGCAGGCATCGACACCATCGGAAGATCTTCTGGTGGTGCCACGCTGTGCCTGCTGTGCAGGCATCGACACCATCGGAAGATCTTCTGGTGGTGCCACGCTGTGCCTGCTGTGCAGGCATCGACACCATCGGAAGATCTTCTGGTGGTGCCACGCTGTGCCTGCTGTGCAGGCATCGACACCATCGGAAGATATTCTGGTGGTGCCACGCTGTGCCTGCTGTGCAGGCATCGACACCATCGGAAGATATTCTGGTGGTGCCACGCTGTGCCTGCTGTGCAGGCATCGACACCATCGGAAGATCTTCTGGTGGTGCCACGCTGTGCCTGCTGTGCAGGCATCGACACCATCGGAAGATATTCTGGTGGTGCCACGCTGTGCCTGCTGTGCAGGCATCGACACCATCGGAAGATCTTCTGGTGGTGCCACGCTGTGCCTGCTGTGCAGGCATCGACACCATCGGAAGATCTTCTGGTGGTGCCACGCTGTGCCTGCTGTGCAGGCATCGACACCATCGGAAGATCTTCTGGTGGTGCCACGCTGTGCCTGCTGTGCAGGCATCGACACCATCGGAAGATATTCTGGTGGTGCCACGCTGTGCCTGCTGTGCAGGCATCGACACCATCGGAAGATCTTCTGGTGGTGCCACGCTGTGCCTGCTGTGCAGGCATCGACACCATCGGAAGATATTCTGGTGGTGCCACGCTGTGCCTGCTGTGCAGGCATCGACACCATCGGAAGATCTTCTGGTGGTGCCACGCTGTGCCTGCTGTGCAGGCATCGACACCATCGGAAGATATTCTGGTGGTGCCACGCTGTGCCTGCTGTGCAGGCATCGACACCATCGGAAGATCTTCTGGTGGTGCCACGCTGTGCCTGCTGTGCAGGCATCGACACCATCGGAAGATCTTCTGGTGGTACCACGCTGTGCCTGCTGTGCAGGCATCGACACCATCGGAAGATATTCTGGTGGTGCCACGCTGTGCCTGCTGTGCAGGCATCGACACCATCGGAAGATCTTCTGGTGGTGCCACGCTGTGCCTGCTGTGCAGGCATCGACACCATCGGAAGATCTTCTGGTGGTGCCACGCTGTGCCTGCTGTGCAGGCATCGACACCATCGGAAGATCTTCTGGTGGTGCCACGCTGTGCCTGCTGTGCAGGCATCGACACCATCGGAAGATCTTCTGGTGGTTCCACGCTGTGCCTGCTGTGCAGGCATCGACACCATCGGAAGATATTCTGGTGGTGCCACGCTGTGCCTGCTGTGCAGGCATCGACACCATCGGAAGATCTTCTGGTGGTGCCACGCTGTGCCTGCTGTGCAGGCATCGACACCATCGGAAGATCTTCTGGTGGTGCCACGCTGTGCCTGCTGTGCAGGCATCGACACCATCGGAAGATCTTCTGGTGGTGCCACGCTGTGCCTGCTGTGCAGGCATCGACACCATCGGAAGATCTTCTGGTGGTTCCACGCTGTGCCTGCTGTGCAGGCATCGACACCATCGGAAGATCTTCTGGTGGTGCCACGCTGTGCCTGCTGTGCAGGCATCGACACCATCGGAAGATCTTCTGGTGGTGCCACGCTGTGCCTGCTGTGCAGGCATCGACACCATCGGAAGATCTTCTGGTGGTGCCACGCTGTGCCTGCTGTGCAGGCATCGACACCATCGGAAGATATTCTGGTGGTGCCACGCTGTGCCTGCTGTGCAGGCATCGACACCATCGGAAGATATTCTGGTGGTGCCACGCTGTGCCTGCTGTGCAGGCATCGACACTATCGGAAGATATTCTGGTGGTGCCACGCTGTGCCTGCTGTGCAGGCATCGACACCATCGGAAGATATTCTGGTGGTGCCACGCTGTGCCTGCTGTGCCTGCTGTGCAGGCATCGACACCATCGGAAGATCTTCTGGTGGTGCCACGCTGTGCCTGCTGTGCCTGCTGTGCAGGCATCGACACCATCGGAAGATATTCTGGTGGTGCCACGCTGTGCCTGCTGTGCAGGCATCGACACCATCGGAAGATCTTCTGGTGGTGCCACGCTGTGCCTGCTGTGCAGGCATCGACACCATCGGAAGATATTCTGGTGGTGCCACGCTGTGCCTGCTGTGCAGGCATCGACACCATCGGAAGATATTCTGGTGGTGCCACGCTGTGCCTGCTGTGCAGGCATCGACACCATCGGAAGATATTCTGGTGGTGCCACGCTGTGCCTGCTGTGCAGGCATCGACACCATCGGAAGATATTCTGGTGGTGCCACGCTGTGCAGGCATCGACACCATCGGAAGATCTTCTGGTGGTGCCACGCTGTGCCTGCTGTGCAGGCATCGACACCATCGGAAGATATTCTGGTGGTGCCACGCTGTGCCTGCTGTGCAGGCATCGACACCATCGGAAGATATTCTGGTGGTGCTACGCTGTGCCTGCTGTGCAGGCATCGACACCATCGGAAGATATTCTGGTGGTGCCACGCTGTGCCTGCTGTGCAGGCGTCGACACCATCGGAAGATATTCTGGTGGTGCCACGCTGTGCCTGCTGTGCAGGCATCGACACCATCGGAAGATCTTCTGGTGGTGCCACGCTGTGCCTGCTGTGCAGGCATCGACACCATCGGAAGATCTTCTGGTGGTGCCACGCTGTGCCTGCTGTGCAGGCATCGACACCATCGGAAGATATTCTGGTGGTGCCACGCTGTGCCTGCTGTGCAGGCATCGACACCATCGGAAGATCTTCTGGTGGTGCCACGCTGTGCCTGCTGTGCAGGCATCGACACCATCGGAAGATATTCTGGTGGTGCCACGCTGTGCCTGCTGTGCAGGCATCGACACCATCGGAAGATATTCTGGTGGTGCCACGCTGTGCCTGCTGTGCAGGCATCGACACTATCGGAAGATATTCTGGTGGTGCCACGCTGTGCCTGCTGTGCAGGCATCGACACCATCGGAAGATATTCTGGTGGTGCCACGCTGTGCCTGCTGTGCCTGCTGTGCAGGCATCGACACCATCGGAAGATCTTCTGGTGGTGCCACGCTGTGCCTGCTGTGCAGGCATCGACACCATCGGAAGATCTTCTGGTGGTGCCACGCTGTGCCTGCTGTGCAGGCATCGACACCATCGGAAGATATTCTGGTGGTGCCACGCTGTGCCTGCTGTGCAGGCATCGACACCATCGGAAGATCTTCTGGTGGTGCCACGCTGTGCCTGCTGTGCAGGCATCGACACCATCGGAAGATATTCTGGTGGTGCCACGCTGTGCCTGCTGTGCAGGCATCGACACCATCGGAAGATATTCTGGTGGTGCCACGCTGTGCCTGCTGTGCAGGCATCGACACTATCGGAAGATATTCTGGTGGTGCCACGCTGTGCCTGCTGTGCAGGCATCGACACCATCGGAAGATATTCTGGTGGTGCCACGCTGTGCCTGCTGTGCCTGCTGTGCAGGCATCGACACCATCGGAAGATCTTCTGGTGGTGCCACGCTGTGCCTGCTGTGCAGGCATCGACACCATCGGAAGATATTCTGGTGGTGCCACGCTGTGCCTGCTGTGCAGGCATCGACACCATCGGAAGATATTCTGGTGGTGCCACGCTGTGCCTGCTGTGCAGGCATCGACACCATCGGAAGATATTCTGGTGGTGCCACGCTGTGCCTGCTGTGCAGGCATCGACACCATCGGAAGATATTCTGGTGGTGCCACGCTGTGCCTGCTGTGCAGGCGTCGACACCATCGGAAGATCTTCTGGTGGTGCCACGCTGTGCCTGCTGTGCAGGCATCGACACCATCGGAAGATCTTCTGGTGGTGCCACGCTGTGCCTGCTGTGCAGGCATCGACACCATCGGAAGATATTCTGGTGGTGCCACGCTGTGCCTGCTGTGCAGGCATCGACACCATCGGAAGATCTTCTGGTGGTGCCACGCTGTGCCTGCTGTGCAGGCATCGACACCATCGGAAGATCTTCTGGTGGTGCCACGCTGTGCCTGCTGTGCAGGCATCGACACCATCGGAAGATATTCTGGTGGTGCCACGCTGTGCCTGCTGTGCAGGCATCGACACCATCGGAAGATCTTCTGGTGGTGCCACGCTGTGCCTGCTGTGCAGGCATCGACACCATCGGAAGATCTTCTGGTGGTGCCACGCTGTGCCTGCTGTGCAGGCATCGACACCATCGGAAGATATTCTGGTGGTGCCACGCTGTGCCTGCTGTGCAGGCATCGACACCATCGGAAGATATTCTGGTGGTGCCACGCTGTGCCTGCTGTGCCTGCTGTGCAGGCATCGACACCATCGGAAGATCTTCTGGTGGTGCCACGCTGTGCCTGCTGTGCAGGCATCGACACCATCGGAAGATCTTCTGGTGGTGCCACGCTGTGCCTGCTGTGCAGGCATCGACACCATCGGAAGATATTCTGGTGGTGCCACGCTGTGCCTGCTGTGCAGGCATCGACACTATCGGAAGATATTCTGGTGGTGCCACGCTGTGCCTGCTGTGCAGGCATCGACACCATCGGAAGATATTCTGGTGGTGCCACGCTGTGCCTGCTGTGCCTGCTGTGCAGGCATCGACACCATCGGAAGATCTTCTGGTGGTGCCACGCTGTGCCTGCTGTGCAGGCATCGACACCATCGGAAGATATTCTGGTGGTGCCACGCTGTGCCTGCTGTGCAGGCATCGACACCATCGGAAGATATTCTGGTGGTGCCACGCTGTGCCTGCTGTGCAGGCATCGACACTATCGGAAGATATTCTGGTGGTGCCACGCTGTGCCTGCTGTGCAGGCATCGACACCATCGGAAGATATTCTGGTGGTGCCACGCTGTGCCTGCTGTGCCTGCTGTGCAGGCATCGACACCATCGGAAGATCTTCTGGTGGTGCCACGCTGTGCCTGCTGTGCCTGCTGTGCAGGCATCGACACCATCGGAAGATCTTCTGGTGGTGCCACGCTGTGCCTGCTGTGCAGGCATCGACACCATCGGAAGATCTTCTGGTGGTGCCACGCTGTGCCTGCTGTGCAGGCATCGACACCATCGGAAGATCTTCTGGTGGTGCCACGCTGTGCCTGCTGTGCAGGCATCGACACCATCGGAAGATCTTCTGGTGGTGCCACGCTGTGCCTGCTGTGCAGGCATCGACACCATCGGAAGATCTTCTGGTGGTGCCACGCTGTGCCTGCTGTGCAGGCATCGACACCATCGGAAGATCTTCTGGTGGTGCCACGCTGTGCCTGCTGTGCCTGCTGTGCAGGCATCGACACCATCGGAAGATCTTCTGGTGGTGCCACGCTGTGCCTGCTGTGCAGGCATCGACACCATCGGAAGATCTTCTGGTGGTGCCACGCTGTGCCTGCTGTGCAGGCATCGACACCATCGGAAGATCTTCTGGTGGTGCCACGCTGTGCCTGCTGTGCAGGCATCGACACCATCGGAAGATCTTCTGGTGGTGCCACGCTGTGCCTGCTGTGCAGGCATCGACACCATCGGAAGATATTCTGGTGGTGCCACGCTGTGCCTGCTGTGCCTGCTGTGCAGGCATCGACACCATCGGAAGATCTTCTGGTGGTGCCACGCTGTGCCTGCTGTGCAGGCATCGACACCATCGGAAGATCTTCTGGTGGTGCCACGCTGTGCCTGCTGTGCAGGCATCGACACCATCGGAAGATCTTCTGGTGGTGCCACGCTGTGCCTGCTGTGCAGGCATCGACACCATCGGAAGATCTTCTGGTGGTGCCACGCTGTGCCTGCTGTGCAGGCATCGACACCATCGGAAGATCTTCTGGTGGATCACATCGACCCACCATCTCGAGGGGACCCAATCCAACAAATCCACCCACCATCCCCGGGGGGGAGAGGTGATGAATCCGCCACACTCGCATGTCCCCCACCTATCTTCTGAAATCTGACATTCCCCACTGCAATACAAGCAGGCACAACCATCCCAGACACAGCACCACTCACCTGCCCTCCTCCGTCCCATCAGAAGCGCTGCCTTCCACACTCGCACCTCCTCCTCCTGCCTCCCTCTCGCTGACGAGCCCTTGCACCCCTTCGCCTGCCACCCCAATTGCATCTTCCTCCTCCCCTCCTTCCAGCCCCCCACTTGCACTACTCAACTTCCCTTCAACCCCACCATCAGCATCACCACTGCTAGAGCTAACCCTGCCAACACTGGCAATCTCAGCTCTTAGCCTCTCTACCTCTTCTCTTAGTGACTCCCTTTCCCTCTCCACACTCTCTCGCTCTTCTTTCTCCTTCCTTACTTCCTCCTCCTCCTCCCTTCTCACTCTCTCCATCTCCTCGGCCAATCGCGCAGCTTCTTTCCTTGCTGACTCAGCCTCCTGCCTCGCCACGTCAGCTGCCTTCCGAGCCTCTGCCACCTCCACCCGAACCGCAGCCTCGTTCACCGTCTCGTAGGTTCGGCCGAACGTGAGCGCCGCAGCAGCCTGAGCGTGCGTAACGGGCTTTAAGGGGTCGAACCGACGAACATTACCAAACACCAAGGGAATAACAGCCGCATTAGTAACAGATTTGAAATCTTGCCCCTTCAACTGCCTGTGCCCCTCCCCCAGCCCCTTCCCCCCAGCCTTTCCCCGACCCTCCCCCCAACCCTCCCCCCACCCCTCCCCCTCCCCCTCCCCTTCCCCCTGTGGTTGGTGCTCCAAGCCCCCGCGGTGATGCAGGAGATCGAAAGAGACGGCTCTTTGGGCTGCAGGGGAGATTCGGGCAGCATCGATGAGCCCACATGTGTGGCGCAGGGCGACGAGGTCGGCCGGCGGCAGGTGGGAGTACTCCAGAGCAAAGCGCCACGTCAGCAGATCCTGACGGGTGAGGGGACTGGCGCACACACGCAAGGGACAACAGTGACAGGAGAAGGGAAAGAGAAAGTCAAGAGGTGACGTCTTGTCAGTCATAAAAAAGGAGGAGTCAAGAGGTGGGTAGAAAGCTTAGGGAAGTGAGGCAATGACCCTTTAAAGAAACAAGGAAAGGAAAGGCAGGAGGAACAAGAACCACCAATCAAGTCAATCAATTCACGTCAGGCATCATTAGATGTTAGACAAACCTCGCCTCAGAAGGCACGTCATGAGTCACACCAACGAGACCTCGACTCGACACACACGTGGCGATTGTCACAATCGACCAGATAAAGAATAGCCACGTGTAACACCCTCGCTACATGTGATGACGCTGCAGCTGCAACAATGCCCCGTCTTTCACAATCACCCGCCCCTTATGTTCACCTGTCGGGCCGGAATAGAGCCTCTCCCTCCCCTGCACCTTCTCAGAAGCAGTCAAGGGGAGTGTAACTCACAATCGCCCGTCTCAGAAGCAGTAACGGCAGTGTGTCTCACAATCGCCCGCCCCTTATACTCACCTGTCTGGCCGGAAAAGTGCCTCTCCCTCCCCTGCACCTTCCATGTGTATGAAGGAGTTATTTAAGACGTCTCAAAACACTCCCTCACACACGTCGCCCTGTCTTTCACAATCGCCCGCCCCTTCTATTCACCTGTCTGGCCGGAATAGTGCCTCCCCCTCCCCTGCACCTTCCCCTGCCGCTGCCCCTCCCACCTCGTCCCTCCGACCCAACAAGCTCGGCAGAATGCCAGCTTCGGCCAGGCCTGTGTGAGAGGTACGGAAAGAACAGCAGGAATCCAAGAATGAGATTGCAGAGTGCATGAAAGGATGTGAGAGGAGATGAGGAATGGTGTGGATGCAAAGTGGATATGACACGCGAGAGGGATGGGGGATGAGTAAAAAAACCATGAAAAAACCATAATTAAGTGGATAAGAAAAAGGGTGGTACCAATGGTAGTGATAATGGCCAGAGTGAGTAAAACGGGGGTGCTTGGGAAGGCTTGTTCAAAATAGCGAAAAGGCTCACCTTGAATGGCAGCAAAATCCTTGTCATCAGGTGCCACGTCAGCATAGGCCTGTTCCGATATCCCCTCTATAAACATGGCGGGATACACCCTATCGGTGGGCGAGGCCGAGAGCTTCTCACTGAACGCCATCAGCCACGTGGCAAACTCCCTCCTCGTGCAGATGCCAGCTGGTGCCACGTCAGCACCTATCACCTGATTGGTGGATGCATGTGTGGAAAGGAGTCAGGCAAAAACCATCGAATTTGTTCTTAAAAAAAAAAAAAACATATAATCGGTCAGTAAAGAAACGGCGCTGCTCCGAATTGAAATGAGGTGGCACCACCACCCTCAACCTCTCCTCCTCCTTCCAACTCAAGCTCCCCGTATCTCACTGAAAGCTCCTTCAATCCTGCCAGCATGCAGGCATGCTCCGGGTTCACATGAGGCGCCACCACCACCCTCATGCTCTCTTCTTTTCCAAAATCACCCTTCCCACCCTGATAAATTGAAACCACTTTCCTGGATTTACCTGAAGCTCTTTCAATCCTTCCAGCAAGCGGGCATGCTCCGGGTTAACATGAGGCGCCACCACCACCCTCATCCTCTCCTCCTTCCCCCTTCCCACCACCTCTCCTCTCCATGCCCCAACCTCAGCCCCTCTCCTCTCCACCTCCCCCTCCCCCAACACACTCCCCAACTCTCCCTCTCCGCTCTCCTTCCCATCTTCCTTCACACTCTCTTCCTCACTCGCTTCCAACCCCATGCCTTCTCTTCTCTGCTCCTCTCTTCCATCCTCTACCTCCCCTCCAGCTGCTCCTGCCTTCTGCCCTCGCCTCTCCTTAGCAGTCTCCTGGGATGACGCAACTGCCAGGAAGGGAAGTGGACGAACATAAAGAAGTGGAATCAAGCCCCGGATGTTTTTTAATCCGGGGCCTCTCCTTAACAGTATCCTGGGATGACATATCTGCCATGAAGGAGGAAACACACTCGAAACACACTCGAAAAACACTCGAAAACGCATCAGAGCCAGAAATTAATTTGTGGGTCAGACTCATAAGGAAGGAGAAAGTACACACTAAGAGTGTTTCACCTTCATGAGCGCTGATGGTGGTGACTGAATCCCGACGTGAGTGTAGCAGAGGGATGCCTGTAGGGAGAGACGCGATGGTGTGAAGTGAACGAGGAATTTAAAGTGGGTGAGGCTTAAAGCTTTAGTGTAGCACGAGAGGGTGAGGCTTAAAGTGGGTTGCAATGCAGCATTCAAATGAGAAAAGCAAAACAGAGAAAACGCGTGTAGCACTCGTCTCCACTCCACACCTCCATCAACCCTCATTCCCTCTTGTTCCGCCTTGACTTTCTGCCCCTTCGTCTCCCTCTCCACCCAACATCCGCTGGTCATTCCCTGCTCTGTCTTCACAAGCTTCATCCACCCTCGTTACATGCACACTCTGGTTCACCCACTACCATCACCCTTCCCACAAGCACCTCTGTCGCTCAAAGTCCCTCAGTAGATCATCGCAGCACCACAGAGCATTTCCTGGGCAACCCATAAGTCCAACTCTAGTCAACCCACTACCACCACCCTTCCCACAAGCACCTTTGTCGGTCAGAGTCCCTCGGTATAGCAGCGCAGCACCACAGAGCAGGGAGGTGATCAGCAGCGGCTCTGAGGGACCGGGGCAGGAAGGGAGCGGAAAGCGGATGAGAGGGGGGAGGAGAAGAGGACGAATGTCCTTCTGTATAGCAGAAGCACCACACAGCAGGGAGGCGATCAGAAGAGGCGCTGAGGAATCGGGGCAGGAGGAGAGCGGAAAGGGATGAGAGGGGGGAGGAGAGGCGGAGGACACTCCCTCCTCACCTCACAGCAGTGCAGCACCACACAGCAGGGAGGCGATCAGAAGAGGCTCTGAGGGATCGGGGCAAGTGAGGGAACAGCAGGGGGAGAGCGGAAGGGGTGTGAGGGAGAGGAAAGGGGGGGAACCAGACACCATCACAACACCACCATCACCATCACCACCACCATCACCATCACCATCCCATCACCAGCACCATCACCACCAGAACCGGAACCAACTCACTTGCAATCGACGCCTTTCGGCGAGGAGCGATGCGTCCTGGCGGGGCAACCCGAACCACGTCAGACGACCAACCGTTGAACGCCAGCTGTCGCACCACCGCCGCCTCGCCGCTGCCCGCAGCAACGGATGACGCGCCTCCAGACGAGGCTGAGTCAGCAAGTGCTGACTCAGCAGGCCAGCACCAGGAACTCAGCACCAACTCCTCCTCACTGCTCCTATTATGCCCACGGCGCGCTTCAGAGTCTACACGGTGGTTACCAGAGCGCTGGTTACCACTGCTACCCCGTGCAACAGCTGGCGTCTGAAAATCAACAGGCGTGTGGGAGAAATCTCGCGCGGCTCTAAGCGCGGCTCCACGCGAGGCCCGATCACGATCCGACTCTAAATTTGCTGCTTCCTTTGCAGCCGGCACAGCCAGTGGTTGCGGTTCTTGAACCGATTCGTGTTCCTGAGGCGCCTCAGATGTCAAAGCATAAAAATCGCCATCATCTTCGTCGTTTTCGCGAGCGCTTTCGTGAACCTTCGCCAAGCTATCCACGAGAGCCTTGGCGACGTCGTGCGGGATCACGGGCGACCCACCATCGGCGCGCAGTGAATCCTGGCCGTAGCTTTTATTGGAACCATAGGCTTTATGACCAGCATAGGGATTTCTGCGGTCACCATCGGAATCAGCAGGGCTATAGAAATTGTCGGAGCCATAAGAATCGTCGACCTTATCACCGTCGCCCAAGGGATTATCGCCGCCAGAATCGTTTTCCACCCAATCCCAGTGCCGGCTCTGAGCAGACGCGCGGCGGAACAGCCTTTCCCGGCCGGACACGTGAACACTACTCGAGCCGTTTTCGTTAGGCGAGAAGCCGGGGCGGATTTTCCAGAAGTTGCTATCCGACGATCGTAGCCGTTTCATTCGGAGTGATCCCAGTGGACCCGCGTAAAACTGACCCGCAGCCGCGGTTCCCGCTAATCTGCTTGAAGTTGGAAGGCTAACCGGTAGACTTGCGCGCTCACCGCCGCAAACAGCGGGCGTTCGCATGATGCCAGCTGACCGAGGACTACGATCGAGAGTCTCCTCCGAAGTAACTGTAGCTAGTCGGAACTAGGTTTCGTTACCAAAACCAACAAGGACGGTCTCCTGAACCAAAAATTCTGGGAGCGCCAAGCGACACGAGACTAAAGAACATATGGCCATGAAAGACAGAATTTGGCAACGAGAAAGGGCTAGATTCGAGAAGCGGCAGCTGAACCTGAAAGGAAGAGTGGTAGTTCTGCAGAGAGATCCAGAGAAGATGGTTATGAAAGAAATCGGTTGTTTGGCAAGGTTCCACTACCTAACAGAGCGTTTCGGGACCCTGGTTTCGTGGTTTAGTGAGGTGGATAATGTTCGGAGGAGTTGTGAGTTCAGCTTCTCGGCTTACGATTCAAACGAGAGAAACACGTCAGTTGGGCTTGGCCAATCAAAGGCGGAATATGGTCAGTGCCGTGGCATCGAAGGTGCTTCTTTCGAGGACACCGAGGACTTTCATGTTTGGGGGCTGGAAAGAAAAAGTGTTCCACGTGGCGAGAGGTGGTTGCTGCAACCTTCCGACGTCAGCAAACGTCCTCGTCTCTAGCTGTCACATTTTTCGGGAAGAAGTATTTCGCCTGCAAAACTTGAAATGAATAATACAATGCTAAAACATCATTCAATGCCATAGTCTACTGTGACAAGGCTAGGTAGGGTAAACCGTACCGTCACAGTGCGTATGGGACTTTAGTGGAAAATAAAAAGAGAAACAGAAAATATCGAAGACGTTGCTAAAGTAACACGTGTGGCGTTTTCCAGCAATACATATGCATTACATTATGTATAATTATGTTGTAGGGGTGACTGGGCCCGTGGTTCGAGTTTGTGAACTACTGGTCCGAGTCTGGCTTGCAAACCGGTCATACTGGTCTGGACCCGCAAGCGCGGACTAAAACGTACCGTATGTGACACGTCCTAAAATTGAACTAGTTGTCACGATGTCTGGTTACCGCTATAATTTTCTTTTCGCCACGACCATCTGGGTCAAGCAACCTCCTCATCCCCAACAAACCAATCTCAAGGTTCCCCCCACCCACGCCTGCTCTCCCGCAGATCACGTTCCTAGGTATTTACAGTTGCTAGGACGGCGAGCAAGCACTCTGTCTTAGTATTTGATAACTGAATTAACTGCTCTGTAGGCCCAGGTTCGGTTTTTTGAGGGTGTCAATACCTGAAACGCCAGCGTAGTGGCACGGGCAAAGTTAGGTTATTTCCCCATTGCTCTAAGAATATTTGTAATTCCTCGTAATCTCTACGCGCGGCCATGAATCCGTCGCGCCCCGGAGGATATGGCGCGCGGTCAGGCCGCTACGGAGGGGCAGCCGGGACACCCGCGGGAGCGGGGAAGGGGCCCGGCGGACCGTCGTCGCGCAGCAATGCGGCGCTGCAGGCGCAGCAGCGGCTCCGCGCGCTCATGTCGAACACGGCGGACGAATCCCAAGACGACTACGGTAGCCAGGTGCGCGCGCTGTCTGCGTGTGCGCGCGGGTCGTATTGTGCCTGCCGTATTGTGCCGCTGGTAGTGTACCGGTCGTAGTAGCGTGCAGATTTAAGTATTCCCCTATAATTACAGCGTGCCGGTCGAAGCGTGCCTGTCTTAGCATGTCCGGAGAAGGTCTCCAGAAGTTAAGCCGAGGACCTTGACTTTTGAGTCGACTCAAAAGTCACCTCGCAGCGTGCCTGTCTTGACATGTCCGGAGAAGGCCTCCAGAAGTTAAGCCGAGGACCTTGTTTGGCGGACGTGTATAACTGACGTCAACGCGAAAGTTTGTTTCTTATCTTGATTCCTCTAATTCCTCTTAACTTGAGTCAAGACACAGAGCGTCTGCCTCGTTATGAACGCAGTTCCGGAAATGTGCAAACCCGGCGAAACGTTCGATGCGGTCGCACGGCACTTGGCATTGGCCGGCGAAACGTAGTTGGATCTGGAGCCATCCGCTCGACTGAACGAGTAGATAGGCCTTGGCATTGGGCGTACCGGTATGTTAAGTATGGTAAGACGTAAAGCCCACGCCTTGATATTGGCAATGGCCATGCGCTGCCGGTGAATCTCAGGAGACATTGCGACAATGAGACGATGAGACATTGGGACGATGACACGATGCGTGAGACGATGAGTGAGACGATGAGTGAGACGATGAGTGAGACGACGAGGCAACGAGGCGATGAGTTCAGGACAAGGACGGTAGGTTGACCCATCGTCTCGTTGGTGATGAGGAAGACTAGGCCAATGACGAAATATTTCTTTCAGCGCTTCGAGGATAAGGTCAGCCAGGCGATGATCTAAGGTCAAAGGATGGTAAGATGACGTCAGCATTGACGGAAATTAGGTCTACGTTGGTAGACTGAGGTCGACGAAGAGCTTGGGTCAACGGTGATTAGCTGACGTCAGCAGTGACGAAGACTCGACGACAGACTGAGGTCGACGCTGGGAGACTGATGTCGGTGACGTTAGGCTGGGAGTCAACGCGAGGAGTCAACGCTGGGAGTCAACTGGATGTCAACGCGATTGTTGTTGGTTCGTCAAGGATTGGTGGTCTCAAAATGGTTGAGATTTCTGATCTGAAACGGGGAGGTTGTTATGTGCAAAGTGAAGCATGGCTATTTGTTTACATGGTTGCAATTACACGTCATATGATCGGATATTCTCTTAACTACACAATTAGGTTTGTGCTGTCTTTATTTGCGCCTTGTCCTGATTCGCTTACCCCGTTTCCCCCTACGTTCCCCCTTCTCCCCGCGTCCCAGCTCCCCAGGTCCGGCGGAGGAATGCGCCAGCCCCCCACTGGAGGCGCGATGGGGCGCGCGCGGCCAGCAGGGGGCGGGTGTGATGCGGCCTACCCGACCCTCCATGTGTGCCCCGTACCTACCAAGTCTTTTTGAGGCATCTCAAAACTCGCGCGCCCCCTCTTTCCCCCATTCCTCCCCCTCCCTCCCCCCTTCCCCCCCCCTCCTCTCACCCTTCCCCGCGTCCCAGCTCCCCAGGTCCGGCGGGGTGATGCGCCAGCCCCCCGCTGGGGGCGCGATGGGGCGCACGCGGCCGGCAGGGGGCGGATATGACGCGCCTGACCTGACCCCGTTTTCCCCCTTTCTCTCCCCCTCCCCGCCTTCACTTCAGCTCCCCAGGTCCGCCGGGGTGATGCGCCAGCCGCCCACTGGGGGCGCGATGGGGCGCACGCGGCCAGCGGGGGGCGGATATGACGCGCCCGACCCCATGGGGGATCCGTACCGAGGGGGGGGTGGCATGGGCGGCTACGACATGGGGCGACGCCCGTACGTAGGGGATTGTATTGTACATGGGGAGGTGAATGCGTGGGCAATGGACAGGTGAGACGCGGAATTGTGTGGGTGTGATGGTGTGAGGAATGGCAGGGGGCGGATATGACGCTCCCTACCCCGTGAGAGGGGGACCCGTACTGAAGGGGGGGAGGCATGGGCGGCTATGATATGGGGCATGGGGAGGTGCTTGTATCAAAAGAGGGGAGGCATGGGGGGTTACGACACAGGGCGACGCGTGTGCGTGTGGGGTGGGATGGGGCATGGGGAGGTGATGTAACAAGGGGAGGCATGGGGGGCTACGACATAGGGCGACGCGTGTACGTGTAGGGTGAGTGTGGGTGTGTGGTTGAGTAAGTACGTGGGCAGGCACATGTATGTGCGTGTATGTTTGCTTATCCATATCCTCCTCATCTTGCCATATGCATTCTTGTTGCCACACTGCACCGCGCTGCACCCCTCTGCACCACGCTTCACCCCTCTGCACCTTTTTTAACCGCTCTCCACCGTCCTTTTCGCTCTGGCAGGGATACAGTAGCGTCCCGGCAGGAGATGGAGAGCATCAAGCGCGAATCAGCCAAGCTCAAGGACGATGTAAGCACGAGAGCATGAAAGAACATGAAATTTGCTTTATTAGAATCCAGAAATTCACGTTGCACACTTGTGGTCCTCACATACCCCTCTTGACCCGCATTCCCCTTTTTCCCCAGCAACTGCCGCACTCTCCTTTCTTGTCCCTCCCCTCCCTCCCCCCTCCCCTCCTTCCCCTCCTCCCTTCCCTCCCTCCCTCCCCCCCGCCGTTGCTCCTCTTTCTTCCCTTCTCTACCATCTCGTTTCTCCCTTGTCTATATTCCCTACTCTCATCTTAACATGCTCGTCACGTCGTTGTGCTCCTTGCACCCCTTTCCCTCTCGTCCTGCCTGCTTTTGACACGCTTCAAGCATAGACTCGGCGTAATGTGCTCCCCCCACTGTGCTCAGTGCTCCCTTCCCCTGCCCCTCCTCCCGCCTGTTCCCCGCAGCTGGATGTTCTTACAGAGGAGAACGAGTTTCTGGTCGATAAGGTGAGTGCGCTCACAGCACAAGGTTCTTGAGTCGGCTGTAGCAGCCGGCATGAAGTTGTGGTGTTGGTGGGGTTTCTGCCTAGGAGGAATTGGTGGGCGAGTCAGCTCTTGAATTCCTGATATCCATGCCCCTTTTCTTGATATTATGGATGTCAAGGGAGTTTGACGTTCGATCATGTTCACATGTTCACTCTGAGCATGCCAAGGCTGGAAGGAAGCTCTTCTGTTTCACGTGATCAGCTTCACATGTTCCTTCTGAAGCTGGTAGTGCCGTGCTCCCTTGGTGAAGTTCTCCCGTGCTGTTCCCATGTTCCCCCCTTGTGCAGTTGCACATGGCAGAGAACCTCAGGGCTATCCCTCACTCTCCCCCCCACAACCCCCTCTCTTCCTCCCCTTCCCCCATGTTTTACCCACTCAGGGAACAAAGGCAGTCAAAAGAAGACCCACACCATCCCTTCGCATGGTAAAGGAGGACCTCAGGGCCATTCATTGCTGCCCGTTACTCATTGTTTCCACCTTTCCCGTTGCCCCATCCCCCCCCCTGCAACTGCGCATGGCTGAGGAGGGCCTCAAGGAGAAGCAGGGGTGCGCGCAGGGCTATTCCTCACTCTCCCCCCAACCCTTCTCCGCACCCTCCCCTCTCTCTCCCTCTCCCCCTCTCTCCTCCTCCCCCTTCTCCCCCCTGCAGCTGCGCATGGCCGAGGAGGACCTCAAGGAGACTGTCTCACTGTGTCCGCCTGCCTTGCTGCCCTTGCCCCTCTCCCCCTCTCCTCCCCCCCCCCTGCCGCAGCTGCGCATGGCCGAGGAGGACCTCAAGGAGAAGCAGGCGCGCGTGCAGGTCTATCCCTCACTTTCCCCCCCTTCCCCCATCTTTTCCCGTCCCTCACCCTTCTCCCCCTCCCCCCTGCAGCTGCGCATGGCAGAGGAGGACCTCAAGGAGAAGCAGGCGCGTGCGCAGGGCTATTCCTCACTCTCCCCTCCTCCCTCCCGGTTTCCCTCTTGCCCTCCCTCGTTCCCCCCCCCCCCCCCCCCCTGCAGCTGCGCATGGCAGAGGAGGACCTCAAGGAGAAGCAGGCGCGCGTGCAGGAGCTCGAGAAGCAGGTGGGTGAGAGGAGTAGTGAGGGGTTGGGGGGGTGTTGGTGTGATTGAGAGGAGTGCAGGGGAGTGGTTCAAAGAAGGGTCTGTTGTGACTCAAGGAGAAGCAGGCGCGCGTGCAGGAGCTGGGGAAGCAGGTGAGGACTTGTGGGATTGGGAGAGTAGTGAGCGGGGGGGAGGGGAGTGGTGAGGGGGGTGACTGAGTGAAAGGGCTGCGGGAGTGAGAAGGGTGAGAGGAGAGTCAAGCCAAGGTCAAAACAGCTCATGTGAAGTCGGGTCAGTTTCAACTGCTTTCCATCCGTTTCTGTCGCTCTCTTTATTTTATCTCTCTGCCTCTCGCCCTGCAGGTGGCGAAGATGGGAGAAGGGCTCAGTCTGGAGGCCCGCCTTCTCAACAAGTGAGTCAAACCCCAATGTGCTTTTCAAAGTGACTTTTGATTCGAGTCAGCCTGAAACTTTTGAAAGGAGTCAACTCCAAAAGTCACTTCAAGATGGGAGAAGGGCTCAGTCTGGAGGCCTGCCTTCTCAACAAGTGAGCAAAACTGAGAAAGCTTTACGAAACTGGATGCCTGGGTTCCAATCCAATCCGTACCCGTCACCTTTTCCGATTTTGTTTTTGAGGCACCTCAAAAACAGAAAAGGCTTTCTGAAACTAAATGCCTGGAATTAATCCGTACCTTTCGCCCTTTCCTGGACCCAGCATTCCCGCACTCCCCTTCGTCCCTTGTTCCTTTTCCCGAAGCTTCTTCTCCCCTCGCCTTTCGTTCTTTGCGCTGCTGCTCCCCGCCCATCCACCGCCCACTTTGCTACTCACCAAACTCGTTTGCTGCTTGCTTTTATTGATTTTCTCTTTCCATGAGCCCAACCCATCGCCGATCTTGTGAAGGCGTTGACATTTAGGAAATGCTCCTCCCCTCCTCGACCCCTCTCATCCCCCCTGGCAGGAAGGAAGCCGTTCTCAAGCAGCGTGAGGTAATCCGTTCCCTGTTCTCAAGCAACCCCTCCTTGCATTACTTCTGCTTGCATGCTGATTCTTGCCTAAGCCCATCATTTACCCCATCCAACTCTCATATACACATTCTTGCCTGCCCTGCCCATGCCCTTATACATATCATTTGATGGCGCGTTTGAGTTCCCATGCCGCTCCGTTCTCAACTGCCTGTGCGGCCTTGCTGTTGTGTTGCCGCCTCTGCCTGTGTGCGTGGATGCATGTGATGGGGGGCACAACAGGCGAGTCTGAAGGAGATGAAGGACAAGAGCAAGGACGTGAAGGAGGTGGAGATCACCACGCTCAGGATGGAGCTCGAGGTGAGCGGTTGGTGTGCCAGGGAGATGAAGGACGAGAGCAAGGAGGTGGAGATCACCACGCTCAGGATGGAGCTCGAGGTGAGCGGTTGGTGTGCCAGGGAGATGAAGGACAAGAGCAAGGACGTGAAGGAGGTGGAGATCACCACGCTCAGGATGGAGCTCGAGGTGAGCGGTTGGTGTGCCAGGGAGATGAAGGACAAGAGCAAGGACGTGAAGGAGGTGGAGATCACCACGCTCAGGATGGAGCTCGAGGTGAGCGGTTGGTGTGCCAGGGAGATGAAGGACAAGAGCAAGGACGTGAAGGAGGTGGAGATCACCACGCTCAGGATGGAGCTCGAGGTGAGCGGTTGGTGTGCCAGGGAGATGAAGGACAAGAGCAAGGACGTGAAGGAGGTGGAGATCACCACGCTCAGGATGGAGCTCGAGGTGAGCGGTTGGTGTGCCAGGGAGATGAAGGACAAGAGCAAGGACGTGAAGGAGGTGGAGATCACCACGCTCAGGATGGAGCTCGAGGTGAGCGGTTGGTGTGCCAGGGAGATGAAGGACAAGAGCAAGGACGTGAAGGAGGTGGAGATCACCACGCTCAGGATGGAGCTCGAGGTGAGCGGTTGGTGTGCCAGGGAGATGAAGGACAAGAGCAAGGACGTGAAGGAGGTGGAGATCACCACGCTCAGGATGGAGCTCGAGGTGAGCGGTTGGTGTGCCAGGGAGATGAAGGACAAGAGCAAGGACGTGAAGGAGGTGGAGATCACCACGCTCAGGATGGAGCTCGAGGTGAGCGGTTGGTGTGCCAGGGAGATGAAGGACAAGAGCAAGGACGTGAAGGAGGTGGAGATCACCACGCTCAGGATGGAGCTCGAGGTGAGCGGTTGGTGTGCCAGGGAGATGAAGGACAAGAGCAAGGACGTGAAGGAGGTGGAGATCACCACGCTCAGGATGGAGCTCGAGGTGAGCGGTTGGTGTGCCAGGGAGATGAAGGACAAGAGCAAGGACGTGAAGGAGGTGGAGATCACCACGCTCAGGATGGAGCTCGAGGTGAGCGGTTGGTGTGCCAGGGAGATGAAGGACAAGAGCAAGGACGTGAAGGAGGTGGAGATCACCACGCTCAGGATGGAGCTCGAGGTGAGCGGTTGGTGTGCCAGGGAGATGAAGGACAAGAGCAAGGACGTGAAGGAGGTGGAGATCACCACGCTCAGGATGGAGCTCGAGGTGAGCGGTTGGTGTGCCAGGGAGATGAAGGACAAGAGCAAGGACGTGAAGGAGGTGGAGATCACCACGCTCAGGATGGAGCTCGAGGTGAGCGGTTGGTGTGCCAGGGAGATGAAGGACAAGAGCAAGGACGTGAAGGAGGTGGAGATCACCACGCTCAGGATGGAGCTCGAGGTGAGCGGTTGGTGTGCCAGGGAGATGAAGGACAAGAGCAAGGACGTGAAGGAGGTGGAGATCACCACGCTCAGGATGGAGCTCGAGGTGAGCGGTTGGTGTGCCAGGGAGATGAAGGACAAGAGCAAGGACGTGAAGGAGGTGGAGATCACCACGCTCAGGATGGAGCTCGAGGTGAGCGGTTGGTGTGCCAGGGAGATGAAGGACAAGAGCAAGGACGTGAAGGAGGTGGAGATCACCACGCTCAGGATGGAGCTCGAGGTGAGCGGTTGGTGTGCCAGGGAGATGAAGGACAAGAGCAAGGACGTGAAGGAGGTGGAGATCACCACGCTCAGGATGGAGCTCGAGGTGAGCGGTTGGTGTGCCAGGGAGATGAAGGACAAGAGCAAGGACGTGAAGGAGGTGGAGATCACCACGCTCAGGATGGAGCTCGAGGTGAGCGGTTGGTGTGCCAGGGAGATGAAGGACAAGAGCAAGGACGTGAAGGAGGTGGAGATCACCACGCTCAGGATGGAGCTCGAGGTGAGCGGTTGGTGTGCCAGGGAGATGAAGGACAAGAGCAAGGACGTGAAGGAGGTGGAGATCACCACGCTCAGGATGGAGCTCGAGGTGAGCGGTTGGTGTGCCAGGGAGATGAAGGACAAGAGCAAGGACGTGAAGGAGGTGGAGATCACCACGCTCAGGATGGAGCTCGAGGTGAGCGGTTGGTGTGCCAGGGAGATGAAGGACAAGAGCAAGGACGTGAAGGAGGTGGAGATCACCACTCTCAGGATGGAGCTCGAGGTGAGGGGGTGAAGAAGGTTGAAATGGAGTTCAAATGGGTGGGAGCGGGATGGTGGAATAAAGTCACGAGAAGCATTTCAGCAGCCACCCAACCACCCATGATTGCATGCATGCACACAGCCCGCCCCAGAAGGAGGAGGCAGCAGCGAGCCAGGAGGCGAGGGCGCTGAGTAGGAGCCTCACAGCGCGGCAATCGGCTGACAATATGCCCCACCTTCTGTACCATGTGAGCGATTTCTGAGAATTTTCAATATTCGTCTACCATGTGCCTATTGATGTGCTTTCCCATGTGTGCGTTATTGCATTGCCTGCAGTCTCAGAGGGAGGAGGCGAGGCAGGCGAGCGGGGAGGTGAAGGCGCCCAGGAGAAGCCTCATGGGGGCGGTGACAGAAGAACACCGCGCCTTCCCTCTCTGTGTGTCTTCCCCCCACTCGTCTGTGTTCCCATGTGTGCGTGCCTCTCCCAACAGTCTCAGAGGGAGGAGGCGGCAGCAGCAATGGAGGAGGCGAGGCAGGCGAGCGAGGAGGTGAGGGCGCTGAGGAGCCTGACTGCGCGCATTCTGCTGACTCCCGAGGAGAAGGAGGAGGTGGTGCTCAAACGCTGCTGGCTCGCGCGCTACTGGGCTCTTGCCTCTCGCCACGGTACGTGCTGTGCCTCAGTAGGTGGCTCTAATGGAGCCTCACGGCGCGCATTCTGCTGACGCCCGAGGAGCTTTTGAGTCGACTCAAAAGCATTCTGCTGACGCCGGAGGAGGAGGAGGAGGTGGTGCTCAAGCGCTGCTGGCTCGCGCGCTACTGGGCCCTTGCTTCCCGCCACGGTAGGTGGTTGAAGGGCAGCACGTACAATAGCCCGACACGTACAGCGCTACGTGCTGCCCTGCCCTCGGTAGGGGGCGTCCAACGGACCCTCACAGCGTGCATCGCATCGGAGCATTCTGCTCACGCCCGAGGAGAAGGAGGAGGTGGTGCTTAAGCGCTGCTGGCTCGCTTGCTACTGGGCACTGGCGTTTCGTCATGGTGGATTCATTTGTGTACTTTTAAGGTATCTTAAACGTTTGGCTCACCCATTACTGGCCGCTGCTTGCTCGCGCCATAGTAAATGAATCTGTTTTGAGTTTTTGCAGCACGATTCTCAACTCTATTGTCTTTGCGAATTCATACGATTATTTCAACTTCCCATCCTCCCGTGTTTTCCCCTGAACTTCCCCTGAACTGAACCGGGGCGTGCATGCTGAGATTGCCAGCTCTCGCAGCAATCACTGGCAGAAGTACTCTGCACTCGCCTCTGCCCTTCAGGGTGATGGTGGTGAATGATGCATCTCATCTACTCTGTACCCCTCCCCACTCCGCCCCTCCTCCTCCTCCTCCTCCTCCTCCTCCTCCTCCTCCTCCTCCTCCTCCTCCTCCTCCTCCTCCTCCTCCTCCTCCTCCTCCTCCTCCTCCTCCTCCTCCTCCTCCTCCTCCTCCTCCTCCTCCTCCTCCTCCTCCTCCTCCTCCCCTTCTTCAGGCGTGCATGCTGAGATCGCCTGCTCTCGCAGCGACCACTGGCAGAAATACTCGCCTCTGCCCTTCGAGGTGGTGATAGACGCTGGCAGGAAGGCCAGGGAGGAGCCTGATGGCGGAGAGAAAGGTAAGGCGCGGTTGTGGGGGGGAGAGGAAGGGGAAGGGGGACAAAGGGAAGGCGGGTAAGGGGAAATACTCGCCTCTGCCCTTTGAGTTGGTGATAGATGCTGGCAGGAAGGCCAGGGAGGAGCCTGATGGCGGGGAGAAAGGTGAGAAGAATAGGACGAATAGGGGGGAAAATGGAGAAAGAAGGGTAGGAGGGACGGCGGGTAAGGGGAATAGGTGACTGAGGGGGGGCTTGTGCTGTTCTGCCTTTTGAACTGGTGATTGATGCGGGGAGGAAGGCCAGGGAGGGGCCTGATGGCGGGGAGAAAGGTGAGGCGCGGTTGCGTGGGGGTTGGATGTGGGGAGGAAGGGTAGGGGAGAGAGGGGGGGATGGAGCGGTTGGTGCTGTTGTGATCGATGCGTCTGATGAAAAGGTGAAAAGGCGGTCAGGAAGGAGCTGAATGGTGGAGGGGAAGGTGCGTGAGAAGAGGTGGGTGGGAAGGAATTGCTGTGTAAGGGAACGGGGATCGAGAGAACCTGATCCTGTAGAGCTGTGACTGTTGCAGGACTGATGAGTCGGACTGCTGACGGGGAGAAGAAGGTTCAGTGCACCGGTTTGGGGTGTGTAGAGGGAGTTTGGGAGAATAGGGCAAGTAGAATGGGGAAATGTGTAGGGCTGGCTAGGTACCCGCCAAGGAGGAGGCCTTTAAAGAACCTTTCTCTTCTCCTCCCTCCCCCCCATCTCTCTCGCTGATCCCACTACCTCCTACCCCTCCCCTCAGAGGACAAGCCAGCAGCGGTGGGAACGGAGAGCAACATAGAGAGCATGTTTCAGGTGGAGAAGGCACTCCGAGACCTGGCAGCACTCAAGGTGGAGGAGGGCGTTCTCCTTGCTATGGCACAGCACCGCCGCCCCGCTCTGCTCAAAGTGCACTCGGCTCCCTCAGGTAAGGAACCTGTTTGTACCGAGTTTCTCGCGCTCAAGGTGGAGGAGGGGGTGCTGCTCGCTATGGCGCAGCACCGCCGCCCCGCGCTGCTCAAAGTGCACTCCGCGCCTTCAGGTGAGAAACCTGTTTGTAACGAATTACCGGCGCTCAAGGTCGAGGAGAGGGTGCTTTTGGGTATGGATGAGGTGGTGGAATGAGAAGGCACTCAGGGACCTGGCGGCGCTTAAGGTCGAGGAGAGGGTGCTGCTCGCCATGGCACAGCACCGCCGCCCCGCCCTTCTCAAAGTGCACTCTGCACCGTCGGGTAAGGGGACGCAGTGCTTTCAGTAAAGGGCACTGTCCACAGGGGGTTTGTTTGCTCAGAAGGTGGAGGAGAGGGTGCTGCTCGCCATGGCACAGCACCGCCGCCCCGCCCTTCTCAAAGTGCACTCTGCACCGTCGGGTGAGAATAATGCCGATTTCTCATATTTTGATAACTCGTTTCCCTCGAAACGCCCGGCTTGTTTTAGAATCTGGTTTCACTTTCCCTGCTCTCTTCTCTAGTCCCATCGCTAGCAGCTCGCTTCCAAACCCATCCACCTTTGCTTGATCTTTCATCAATGTCCACTTCTCCTCCCTCTGCCCCCCTCTCCTGTGTGTGCAGCTGCCGAAGAGGGTCCAAGGATGGTCGAGTCTATGGGTGAGTTCCCCTGCCTGCCCTCTCTCCCTCCCTCCTTCCGTTTCTCCCTCCCTCCTTCCGTTTCTCCCTCCCTCCTTCCGTTTCTCCCTCCCTCCTTCCGTTTCTCCCTCCCTCCTTCCGTTTCTCCCTCCCTCCTTCCGTTTCTCCCTCCCTCCTTCCGTTTCTCCCTCCCTCCTTCCCTTTCTCCGTCCCTCCTTCCCTTTCTCCCTCCCTCCTTCCCTTTCTCCCTCCCTCCTTCCCTTTCTCCCTCCCTCCTTCCCTTTCTCCCTTGCCTCGCTCTATCCATCCTCATTCCCTTACCTTCTTTCCTTTCTGCCTTCCCTCCCCCCATCCATCCTTTGTCCCCTTGCCTATGCTCTGCGGCCTCTCGATTGTGCCCCTCGTTCCCCCCCCCCCTGCCCATCCATCCTAGCTCCTCTTTTCTGTTAATTTCTCCTTCTATCACTTCTCTTCGTTTGTTGAACCCAATCTCAATCCAACTTGTTTCCCATTCGTCGCTCCCTTGTGCTTTCAAAACTGAGCAATATAAAAGTGGAAGAAGTGAGGTTCAAGCGGACCTGGCTGGTGTACTGGTGGCGGCAGGCGCGCGACCACAAGCTGCCTTCTCTCTCATCCCTCCTCTCACACTCCTTCCTCTCACACTCCTTCCTCTCACGCTCCTTCCTCTCTCGCTCCTTCCTCTCTCGCTCCTTCCTCCCCTCCCTCCTTCCAACACCACAGACCCGAGCGATGAAGAAGTGGAGGACGTGAGGTGCAAGCAGAACTGGCTGGTGTACTGGTGGCGGCGGGCGAGGGACCACAAGGTGTTCTCTTATGGCTTGCTTGCTCTCTCTCCTTCTACTCCATTCATGCAGATTTGAGCGATGAAGAGGTTGAAGACGTTCGGTTCAAGCAGAACTGGCTGGTGTACTGGTGGCGGCGGGCGCGCGACCACAAGGTGTTCTAACTTAAACCCTGCCTTCCCGTTTCCGCCCTCTCTTTTTCCTCTCTCCTAACCTCCCCTACAGACCTGAGCGACGAGGAGGTGGAGGATGTGCGCTTCAAGCAGAACTGGCTGGTGTACTGGTGGCGACGAGCTCGTGACCACAAGGTGGAGCCGGACATTGCGGCCGAAAGGCTGGCGTACTGGATCTCCAGGAGCACCGTGAAACCGACCGCGCACGATGCTGTGGATGGTGAGTCAACGGGAGTCAACAGGAGTCAACGGGAGTCAACGTGAGTCAGGTATCACGGGGGACAGGTGCAGGGATCACAAGGTGGAGCCGGGCATTGCGGCGGAGACGCTGGCGTACTGGATCTCCCGCAGCAATGTCAAGCCGACCGCGGTCGATGCTGTGGATGGGGAGATGCAGGGCAGTAAGGGTGTGACTGGTAGAGAAAGCGAGGCAAGCAAGTGAGTCAGGTATCAAGGGAGCACAAGGTGGAGCCGGACATTGCAGCGGAGAGGCTGGCGTACTGGATCTCCAGGAGCACTGTCAAGCCCACCGCGCATGATGCTGTGGATGGTGAGTCAACGGGAAAGGGTTGTGCACAAATGCATGACCTTCTCACACCCAATTAACGCATTCCCTTTCTCTCTTCCTCCTCCCCCCCCCCCCCCCCCCCCCCCCCCCCCTCCCCCCCCCCTCCCTCCCCCCCCTCTCCTCCAACCACCTCCCCTCCCCCGCCCTCCCTTCCCTATCGTCCCTTTCCATCCTCTTCCCCTGCCTTTGCTCCCTCCTCCCCTCGCCTCTCGTGGTGATGTCATGCTGATGTCACCAGCGGAGCGCGGGCTGATGGAGATCCGCAAGTTGAACCTGGAGCAGCAGATGTGGGATGCTTCCAGGAAGGATCTCGTTGCCGAGGCTGCAGCAGCCGCTGCTGTTGCTGCTGTGGCTGCAGGGCCACCTCCCTCCAGCAAATAAGACGACTGCAGCACTCTGCTCTGCTCCACTTTCCACCGCGCTGGACCAGGACTTAAGCTTTCAGCACCACTGTTCCCAGTGCCATGCTCGAGACTGACTAAAGCACTCGTTTGTGCTGCTGCTTGAGTTATCTCTTGTTCTGCATGCCTTTCGCTCACTCAAGTCATGGCTTGTGTCGCCCATGCCTTTTGTGTTGCCACATTCACACAGAACAGCTTGTATCTCAATATGGAATGACAGGACGTGAAACACGTGGTAAATGTTCACTATTAGGTTTGTGTAAAGCTAGTGTACATTAACCTGTGATTATGGATTACTGCTATTGTCATTTCAGTTTCTGTACTTTTTAATGTGGAGAGTGTGGATGTACACTAAGTACTACACGCAACAGTTCGACTGATCGCCCTGGAGATTGCTTCGACGAGGATGGCAGGTGGGCTGCATGCATGGCAGAAAGTACTTCCAGGTGCTCGGGTTTTCTGGAAAATTTATGGGCTCTCCGCGGTTTACGGGAAGTGCTTTTTGAAAAGCAAAACTTTGCATGCAGGTAACGCAAGCTAGCCGACTTGCGGTGAAACTCGCTGCGCAGGTCAGCCATATGGTTGGTGGTGAGGACGGGGAGTTCGGCCCTTGACCGCGGATTGTGCCTTCTTCGCCTTATGACCGGTGAAATTTCCCCGCAACGGCCATTTCGATCTGCCCGTTCCACTCCACCCAGCCACCTTCGAGCATGGCATTGATGAGATGACGGATGATGCGATGCTCAATCCATCCATCCATCCATCCACCCCAACAACCATATTTTCCCCCACAACACAACCCAACCCAACCTGGAGGTGGGATGCATCATGCTTGTGATGTAGCGAGTGAGCGACCTTGCCTTTTCTAGGTCAGTGCTCAGTGAGCCCCCTGCGTAGGCCGGTCGGCGGCAACCGCTTTCCTGCCATTTCCCGCCATTTTCTCTCACCTGTGCCCACCGCGTTCGGCGCGAAGTGCCCTCCATTGCAACTTGCACTCCCCAGCCCCACACCTCTGTCCCGTCACACATGTGTCAAGGTCATGTCATGTGAGCCATCTCATGTGACTGGTCTCATGTAACGCGTCACAACTCACAAACGAATCAGGCGTCACTTTCACTGCAAGCTGACCTGACCCCCCCTGTCCCATCCCATCCCAATTTCACGACTGTTGTCTCGTTGGCCCGGCTTGCCCGAGGTGAATTTCTTCCAAAATAACGAAAATTTCCGCTCACGCGCTGCGGCTTTCCCCGTGCCACGGGTTACCCTATCCAACCAGCCTCGCCCCGCTGTTACTCCCACCAACGAATCCGCTCGCCCAATTCCCCAGCCTTGCATCGAAACCGTCGCGCCATCCCCTTACCCATCGCGCCAGTTCCCTTATCCGTTGCGCCCATTTCCTCAAGCCGTTGCGCCATTTCCCCCACCCAACCCAACCCATCGCCCCCCGTCTTGTATTGTACACCAGCCGCCGCTGTTTCTCTCGCGCCACCGCTCCACTCCATTCCCCCTCCTTCGCGTTGCACCACTCTCTGCCCGGCCTAACCCTTCTTCACCCATCTCAAACCGTCTCCAACCCAGCAGCACCTCCGCGGCACCTCGCTCGCTCGCGCCCTCCCCTCCCCCCTGCTTCTATTCGTGCTTTCCCTGCTCGCTTGGAACTGGGAACACATTTCGCGGCCAAAGCACACACGTATCCTTCACCGGGCTCACGGATTTTTGCGTCAGGACCGCTCTTCCACTCGTTCCCCTTCACGTTCCACCAGGCCAGTCGCGATTGGGCTGGTTGCTGCTCGAGCAGGCAAATTCTCTGGCAAGCATTTTCTGGCAGCCTGACAGCTGGCTCTGAGAGGGGTACGATACTGTAGCTCGTGTTGCGCCTTTCTTCTGACAGATTAGGCGTTTACTATTTTTCATTTCCATGACTAGAGAGTGCGATGGCGGACTGGTAGACATAGACCTGGGCTCTAAGCACGCCCCGGAGATTGCGGTAATGTCGCGAAGCGCTAGTGACGCGGAAGGGCGGCGCGGAAGGGCCGGATGGCATGGCGGGTCGGCAGGCGGCAAGAATGGCGGCACGGCTCGAGACACGCTGCTGGAAGAGTCGTTCTTAATTCCGAATTCCGGCCACGTGCGCGCCGCGCTCATGGTCGACGGGATGGTGTGGCACAGAGTGGACGAATCCGCGAGTCAGGTACAAAAGATAATGCCGAGTCAGGTAGATTTTTATTTATCACGAAACTCAATCTGTACCGCGGTTTTGACAACGGTGGGCTAATACTGGGATGACAGGCCCGGTCTTGCGTCCTGTCCTTCTTTGCCGCTAGCAGTATCCATTAGCCGCTCCACCACCCCTTTGTGCGTATAAAAAGAAATGCCTAGATGAATTTATCGCTCACACCGCTTCGCATTTCGACACGTTGTCGTCGGTTCTCATTTGCCGTCTCTTCGTTCGTCATTTCCTCCTCCGCCAATTCTCTCCGTCGAGTTTCATCCGTCTATTCTCCTCCGTCAGTTCCTGCCTCACCACGAAGATCTGCTTTATCCCTCCTCCTTATTTCCTATCCTCGTCCGTATGCCTTCCCTAAACACTGTACCTGTTTCTTTTCCCGTTCCATATCTCTCTCCGTGTTCTCCGCTCAGGCATGCCCTGCAACCACTTCGTGCCACGACTGCGGCCTGGGACAACCGGATGCCAGCTCAGCACCCATCAGCGAAATCTACGCCGTCGAAATGCTTCCAGAGGCATCCGTTAAGAGCAGCTTCTTCGCGAGTCCCATTAAGGTACCTGCGCGCATAAGCGCATAACCGCGCACCCTGCGCGCATAAGCGCATAATCGCGCACCCTTCGCGCATAAGCGCATAACCGCGCACCCTTCGCGCATAAGCGCGTAACCGCGCACCCTGCGCGCCTCGGCTATTTCCCGTTACCTCGCCACCCACCTTCTCCATCCCCTTAACCCCCCGCTCTTCCCCACCTTCCCGTCTTCCTCCCTCCCCGTCCTCCCCTTTCCGAGTATTCCCCGTGCTCTCTTATTCACCCAAATCTCCCATCCCCTCCCACCCCCCTCCCCCACCCCCCACCCTCCGCCTCCCACCTCCGCGCGCGCGCAGATGCATCAATTCGCGGTGCACACGTTCCGCCGTTCCGCCGACCGTTGGCTCCCGCTCAAGCTCGTCTTCTGCCACGTCAGCGCTGACGTGTGCCAGCAGTGGGCGGACCGCATCCTCTCGCTGCTGCGCGCCGACCCGGAGCGCCCTAGGAGCCTCCTAGTGTTCGTGAACCCTATTGGCGGGCGCAAGAAAGGATTAAAGACATGGGAGGCGGTGCGACCCGTTTTCGATCGCGCGGGTGTCGCCGTGCAGGTGCGACGGTGGTTACCACAGAGTTCGCGAATTTTTATGGCGAGCAGTTGCAGCAGCAAGCACCAATCGCTCGTCCTTCTCCGCTTTGCGAAATTTCGGGAGTTTCGCTTGTCGTAAGCTTGCACGTACGAACAATAACAACGGTTTCTCAATTCGCGAGTTTGTTTCGTTGGTCGCAGGTGGTGGTAACCAGCCGTCGCAACCACGCTCGCGACATGCTGCAGAACGCGTCGGACAAGGAGCTCTGCCAGCTGGACGGAATCATCGTCGTGGTGAGTCGCACACACCAGCGTTGCACACACCAGCGTCGCACACACCAGCGTCGCACACACCAGCGTCGCACACACCAGCGTCGCACACACAGTCGCACACCAGTCGCACGCTGTTCAACGAGGCAAGGTACTGATGCTGTGTTGCAAGGCAACCCTCGAAACCTATCCCAACTCCACACTCCTGCTCAGGGACTGTCGCTGTCACACTCTTCCATCCCAGCCGGCCCAACGACTGCCCTGAGGAGCGGCGGCGATGGGCTGTTTAACAACGCGCTCAACGGGCGAGCGAGGCGCTGCTGCTGTGTTGTACCCATCCCAACCCAACCCAACCCAACCCAACCCAACTCCATTCCCTTCCCTAATTCCCACCCCGTCAGGGCGGCGACGGGCTGTTCAACGAGGCGCTCAACGGCCTCGCGAGGCGCCGCCACCGCGCCTTCCCGTGCGTGCGCCCCGCGCGCCTGCGCCTCCCCCCGCCCTCCACCGCCCCATGCGGCGCCGGCAGAAGCAGAAGCGGGAGCGACGGGGAAAGGAGCAGGAGCGCAGAGGGGAAGGTCACAGTGAGCAGTGCAGTTGGTAGCGTAGGGAAGGAGGGGTGGGGATCGGATGGAGCTAGAATGGTTAAGGATAAAGGGATAGGCGAACGGGATTCGAGATTAGGATGCGGTTTGGGAATAGGAGGTGGTTTAAGAGCCGATTCGGGATCTGGAGGAGATTTGGCGCATCTGCCAGCGTGGCAGGGTGCCACGATAGCAGAGAAAGAAGAGGAGGAGGAGGAGGAGGAGGAGGAAGGGGACGAGAAGGCAACCAGCGAGATTGTTTTTGTTTCTGATGCTGACTCTGCTTATGCAGACGCTCCTGCTGCAGCTGCCGACGCTAGCTCTTCAGGGTCTGCCCAGGCCTGTGCTGCAGGTTTGGAGAGAAGGGCGACGCTCGGCAGGTTCCGCCGGCAGGAGAGCGAGCTGGAGGCGGCAGATGCAGTGAACCTGGACATGGGCAGTGGGCAGGGGGTTGGGTTTAGAAAGCGAGGAGAGGGGGAGGGGAGCGGGGGGGAGGGAGGAGGGGAGAGAGAGGAGGAGGGGGGAGGAGGGTGGAAGGGACGGGAGGAAGCGAGTAGGTAGCAAGGGTTGGTTGGCTGCTGCGGGTTGAATCTGACCAACTGGCGGAGAGATAGTGACAAGGGCACAGACACATGCGGACAAAACGGCGGGCGGCACGCTGACGTGGAGGGCGATGACTCGCCGAGAGGAGGCGTCAAGCTTTATGGACTGGATACCCCTGGGGGATTAAATACTCCTGGGTTAGAGACTCCTGCCGGCTTTAATACCCCTGCTGGGTTTCATTCTACAGCTGGGTATGGGTATGACACTCCTAAAGGCTACTATGCAACTCCTAAGGCCGGAGCGTACTATGAGACTCCTAAGCCTGGCAGTGGCGGCTCGGAAGGGTATTATTTCCCTACTCCTAAGGAGGGGGGTGACCGGGCGAAGGGGTTTTATGAAACGCCCAAGGCGCAGCAGGCTCGGTGCAGCTTCGGCCGAAGCAGCTTTGGTCCGGGAGTCAGGAACGCGACGTTTTTGAGTGACTGGGGGACGGTGCGGGAAGGGGAGGAGGAAGAGGAGGAGGAGGGGGGAGAAGGGGAGGAGAGGGGTGGAATGGGGGAGTGGGGAAAGGGAGTGGAGGAGTGGGAGGAAGGAGGAGTGGGGGAGGATGGTGGAGTGGAGTTGTGTCTGCCTAGGCGGCTGAGAATTGGGATTATTCCCGCTGGATCAACTGATTGCATTGCCATGAGGTGAGAGGCGTTGGGGGAAAGATGTGGTATGAGCAAGGAGGAGTGGGAGGATGGCGGAGTGGAGTTGAGTCTGCCTAGGCGGCTGAAAATTGGGAAATTCCTGCTGGTACTACCGATTGTATTGCCATGAGGTGAGAGAGGGGGGGGAAGATGTGCTATGAGCGAGCAGGGAGGGGAGAGGGGAGGAGTGGGGGAGGATGGTGGAGTGGAGTTGTGTCTGCCCAGGAGGCTGAGGATTGGGATTATCCCCGCTGGATCAACTGATTGCATAGCCATGAGGTGAGGGACAGATGGTAGAGGGGGAGAGGGGAGAGAGGAAGCACATCGTCCCACGCCCTGTGTTGATCAATTAAGGTGAGGCAGAGCGTAGGTTTGTGTCTGCCTAGGAGGCTGAGGAGGTGCGATTATTCCCGCTGGATCAACCGACTGTATCGCCATGAGGTGAGAGAGTGTGGGGTTGTGTGTTGAGGTGCGGGGAAGGAAGGGCCTCTTTCCTCTTTTTCCCTGCCAATATGTTGTGAGGAGGGGCACACCTAAGACGTCCACCGCTCACCACCTCACTCCACCGAGCCTCTTTCCGCCTTTTCCCTGCCAATATGTTCCTCCAATCGCTATTGCTCACCTCTTGTCCCTGCACGCAACTCCTTTCTTTCCTCTCATCCTTTCTAACCGAATTGCACCCGTTATGTCCCCTCCTGCAGCCTCGTTGGTTCGCGTGACCCTGCCACGTCAGCACTGAACGTTGTGATTGGCCGACGCACTCCCATGGATGTTGTGCGGGTAACTTCCTGGAAACCCGCCAATCACTCCTCCCCCTCCTCCTCCTCCTTCTCCCCCTCCTCCTCCTCCCCCTCCTCCGTCCCTCCTGCTGTCTCTTTGTATCAACCACCACCCACCCCTTCCGAGCCTACATTGTCGCCGAACTGCCCAACCGAGCCTACAGTCTTGGCCTCGGGCCAAGCCGCCGTCCTAGCTTCGGCATCTCCCCTCTCCTCCTCCCCCGCTTTCTCCTCCTCTTCCGCCCCCGCTTCCCCCTCCTCCCTCTCCTCTTCCTCCTCTGCCTTATCCGAATCGTCGATCACTCAGCTCCAGGTTGGCGCTGACTCAGCAGCTGCTGAGTCAGCACACCATCAAAAGGAGGAGTAGGGGAAGAGAGGAGAGGGATGCATGGAGCAACGGGAGGAGCAGCGGAAGGTTCCAGGAAGGAGGACGGGGAGCAACAGATGGAGTGTGATGTCCGATACGCTGCATCATTCTTCGGGTAAATTACCCTGTCCCTTGCTGTGTACAACCGTAAAACATCAACACACAAACTAATAATAAGAAACCGCGTCCTCCTCCGTTTTTCTTCCCCCCTGTTCAAGCTTCCTCGAGGTGTATTTTGAGGCGCCTCAAAAGTCACCTCAAAAGGCGCCTCAAAATTCTTTCCCCCCTGTTCAAGCTTCCTCTTTCCCGAGCGACCAAGCTTTGAGACGTCGTCCATTTGATCCCCCGCCCCCCCACGCTCCAGCTTTTCCCATTCCTCGTTCCCCCGTTTCCCCTTTCCCATTCCCCTTTTTTCCCTACCCCCATTCCCCCCCTCCCCCACTCCCGCTCCCCCTCTCTCCCGGTCTCCCCATCTTCCCAGGTACGGCTTCTATGGTGCAGTGACCAAGGAGAGTGAGACGCTGAGGTGGATGGGACCCGCGCGTTACGACTATGCGGGGTTCATGACCTACATGCGCCACAGGTGGGTGGGTGTGGTGGGATCAAGTGGGTGGGTGTGGTGGGATCAAGTGGGTGGGTGTGGTGGGATTAATGTGATGTGGGTGTGGTGGGATTAATGTGATGTGGGTGTGGTGGGATTAATGTGATGTGGGTGTGATGGGATTAATGTGATGTGGGTGTGGTGGGATTAATGTGATGTGGGTGTGGTGGGATTAATGTGATGTGGGTGTGGTGGGATTAATGTGATGTGGGTGTGGTGGGATTAATGTGATGTGGGTGTGGTGGGATTAATGTGATGTGGGTGTGGTGGGATTATGTGATGTGGGTGTGGTGGGATTAATGTGATGTGGGTGGTGGTGGGATTATGTGATGTGGGTGTGGTGGGATTAATGTGATGTGGGTGTGGTGGGATTAATGTGATGTGGGTGTGGTGGGATTAATGTGATGTGGGTGTGGTGGGCTTAATGTGCTGTGGGTGTGGTGGGCTTAATGTGATGTGGGTGTGGTGGGATTAATGTGATGTGGGTGTGGTGGGATTAATGTGATGTGGGTGTGGTGGGATTATGTGATGTGGGTGTGGTGGGATTAATGTGATGTGGGTGTGGTGGGATTCCTGTGATGTGGGTGTGGTGGGATTAATGTGATGTGGGGGTTCATATGCATGTGCTACAGGGTGGGGCCTGCTCGTTGGGTGTTCTGCAAGTTGGGTGGGGCCTGCTCGTTACGTCTATATTGATGTTACTTTTGAGAATTCCCAAATGTAACGACATGACATGCGGGGTTCACGACATGCATGCGCCACAGGTGGTGGGTGCGAGTGAAGGTGATGCGGGGTGACTTTTGAGTCGACTCAAAAGTCACCTTTGTGCGCCACAGGTGGGTGCGAGTGAAGGTGATGCGGGCTAGCAAATGCATGCAGCACAGGTGGGTGCAGAGCATTGGTGCATGCATTTGCATAGGAGGGCGCTCTGGTGAAGCCTTTTGAGGCGCCTCAAAAGTCCCCTCCCCTCCCTTCTTCCCCTCTCCTCCTCCCTCTTCTCATATTCTGTCCTCTTCCCTCTCTTTCACCCCCACTTACCCCCCATCCAGGTCGTACGAAGCTGAGGTATCATTCTTCCACATACCCGAACCTGACCAGCCTTCCGTGCACAGAAGAAGGTAACTCAACGCTCATTGCCTGCCCAGCATCCCTTCCTGCTCCTGTCCCTCGTTCCCCCCCATACGCCATGCCTGGGTACAGCAACGGCAAGAAGGTCCCTCGTTCCCCTCCCATACGCCACGCCGTTGCCATACCTTCCCCTCGTCCTCCTACTCCTATCCCCCCCTGCCTTTTTTCCTCTCCTGCTCCTTTCCTCCTATAATACCCATCACCAACTCCTCAAAATGATAGACTCAATGCATATCAGATGGTGGGGTACAATGTCTCTACCCCACCATTTTTTTCGATCCTTAATGTCGCATACCTTGTCATTTCCCTTTCCTTCCTTCCCACCTCCTCCTGCCTCCTCCCTTCGGCGATCTCTATCATTCCCTTTTCAACCTGCCCCGTCCTTTCAGCACTACGACCCGTCCAGAGATCTGCACCGTTGGATGCTCGGTGTGCGCCAACGGCCAGGATCTCTCGCTGCTGGCGCGATCAGCTCTGGGATTCGAGGCCATAGGCCCATCGCAGTCAGCTGTGGGCCTGGCCTCCCTTCTCACCCCTCTCAACCGCACTCCTGGTGATTCTGCTGCTGCTGATTTAGCTCATGCCGAAGCTGCTGCTGCTGATGCTGCTGCTGCTGTTTCGCCCTCCTATCAGCCTCCTCCCGCCGCTCCCGACGCTTCTGCTGCTACAGCCACAGAAGCCGACAAGCACAACCTCCCCTCGCCTCCTCCCCTAGAAACCGCTGGCGCTGACGTGGCAGCGCCGGATTCGCCACAGCCGCCGATGTGGGACGAGGCGACGCCAGGCTGGCGCACGGTGAGAGGCCGGTTTCACAGCGTGGGCGGCGCGGTGATCTCGTGCCGCAATGACAAGGCGCCAGATGGCGTCGCGGCACACGCCCACCTGGCAGATGGGAATCTCAACCTCATCATGATCCGCGAGTGCTCGCGCGCAGAGTACCTCCAGTAAGATACCTCCTGAGTGCCTCTGTATTATCGTTAGTGCAACATGTAATTATTGCTTTTGATGGCGTCGCGGCACACGCCCACCTGGCGGATGGCAATCTCATCATGATCCGCGAGTGCTCAACCGTGTCACTCATCATGATCCGTGTCACTCTGTCTCAACCTCATCATGATCCGCGAGTGCTCGCGCGCAGAATACCTCCAGTGAGTGTTCTACTTTCTTCCAATAACTTTCGCTTTCTTTCTTTCTTTCTTTCTTTCTTTCTTTCTTTCTTTCTTTCTTTCTTTTTCTTTCTTTCTTTCTTTTTTATGGTATAGATGTCCTATTATGTCTGGCTGTTGTTAATGGTGCAGATCCCTTCTTAGGAGATCTCAAACTACGTATCCATCTGTTATAAGTATCTCAAGACATACCATGTATATGTCTGTCCGTCCATCCCACTATCCACCCACTCCCAGGCAACTCCTGTGTCTGGCCATCAAGGGCGCGGATCCCCTCAACTTCCACTTCGTCCAGCACCACAAGGTGGGTGGGTCACCCACAGCACCGCTTTGCACCGCCTCACACTGACTAATAATATGATATCACATCTCCTCACACCGTTTCACACCGAGTCACACCGTTCCTTGCTGCTGTGTCTGGCCATCAAGGGTGCAGATCCCCTCAACTTTCACTTCGTGCAGCACCACGAGGTGGGTTTGCTTCTCATTCACAGCACCGCTTTGCACCGTGTCACTCTGTCTCACTACCGGGAAGCTGCTGTGTCTGACCATCAAGCGTGTGCGGATTTCCTCAACTTCCCACTTCATCCAGCACCACAAGGTGGGTTCAATTCTCACTCACATCGACGCTTCTCACCGCTGTACACTGTTTCGCACCGTCCCGCACCATTTTACATCGTAGCTATCCTCCCCGCCGGATGTTTCCGGTGCCCAAAATCGCTCAGCTGGAACGTGAGGTGATACATTAGGGAGATACCCGCACCATCTCACACCATCTTTGGAAGATACCCACACACCATCTCGCAGCATCTCACACCATCTCACACCATCCCAAACCAGGGCGTTCAAGGCAGTGCAGTGGGCGAGTAGGGCTTTCATGGAGGGGCGAACTGGTGGAGGCGAGTGAGCTGTCAGCCCAGACTCTCCCCGCAACTCTCTCCCCCACATAACCTCCCTCCCCATGCCCCCACCCCAGACCCCAGCGCTCACGTTCAAGGCCATGGGGGAACAAGGCTTTTGGAATGTGGATGGTGAACTGGTGGAGGCGAGTGAGCTGTGATCTCAGGTTCTTGCCCCTCTCTCTCCATCATCCCCACTCTCCACTCCCAGACCCCAGCGTTCACGTTCAAGGCCATGGGCGAGCAAGGCTTCTGGAATGTGGATGGTGAACTGGTGGAGGCGAGTGAGCTGTCAGTTCAGGGTGTTTTTCTGCCACTTTTCCCCTTCCACTCCCTCTTTCTGCCACTTTTCCCCTTCCACTCCCTCTTTCTTTCCTTCTCCCAGACCCCAGCGTTCACGTTCAAGGCCATGGGGGAACAAGGCTTTTGGAATGTGGACGGCGAACTGGTGGAGGCAAGTGAGCTGTCAGCCCAGGTGTTCCGTGGGATGGTGGATATGTTTGGCAGCGGCCCGGATGTGTGACGTGTGAAGGAGTGTGAGGGAGTGAGGGAGTGGGAAAGGTGGTGATGATGGAGTCCGGGAGTGATGGTGTACATGTTGACGGGGTGTAGTGAGGTGTTGTAAAGAATTCTAACGTGCACCGAATGGTGTGTGTGTGGTAGAGGATAGGAAGGTAGACATCCGCATAGAGGGTTGTTTGGTTCTAATGTATATCTCTATTGCAGTTTGAGTGTACGCGACCAATTCTACTAGGCCAGATGTATGAAGTGTTACCGTATGTTCCAGCTTTCTTTAGCTGTGCCCTAACAGAGGAGAGAAAGGGAGCCTTTTGATGTTGCCTGGAACATTGGGGAATGTATATGCATCTACATGAATAACGTTTTAATGTGCATCACCTGAAACAATCCTTCACAATACACTCCCAATGATCTGGTGCCCTGCGCATCCGTGATGGTTCATGCTGCACCTGATTGGTTTCTGAACTTGCGCTGGCTCATCCATTGATGGTGACGCGTCCGATCGCAGCCAGTCAGTGTATGCCACAACTTCACATGTTTTTTCGCCAGTAATGTCAGCAATTCCATTTCAGTTTTAGTCTGCCAAACGCGAGACACAGCGAACAGGGTTCTGCCTCCCGTAATCAGTTTTAACCCCCTACCATGTGTCCGCCGCACCGCACCGCAACTCTTCTCCATCACTCATTCCTCCTCTCAAATCTTGAAGCTCGAGGGTGTCAGAGGGAGACTCGATAATACCGTCAAATACACGAGGCGAGGGCGGAGCGGACGAGAGCTGATTGGATGAAACTCCGCGGCCATTCTCCGCCACGCATCCTTGAAATTGGTTTAAGCGGGGCGTCGCGCGGGTGCAGGCGGGACGGTGAAGCGGAGCAGAGCGGAACAGTTGAGGCAGGCAGGTGTGGTGGTCATGACGGGGAGTGTGGTAGGGCCGCGCCCCACCCCATTCAGCCTTCATTCTCATTTTATGCAGCACGATTTTGTTCGGTTCGGTATGGTCGAAAGCAGTAACTAGTTTGAACCCGACTTTCTGTGCGGTATCGCGCGGAACCGCTATACCATCAGCGGACGAACTCGCGGAACATATGATAAGGGCGGGTCACAGCATCTTCGTTTTCTTTCAGCCCAGGCTTGCGTGAAGAAGGTAAAGCACACTATTGTACTCAACCGTATATTAGAACAGAAATAAACCGGCAAGTTGGCAAGTATCTGTCTCGGTAAAATTTAGAACACAACATTTCATCTTAGTAGTTCACCTTTCATTAGTATCTCGCACACTGTATTTGTGTCTCACTGTCGTCTACCAAGCAGAGGCATTGAGGCTCCAACGGCCGTATAGGAACGTCATCACAGTGGCCTCATGTCCTCGCAGCGGGCTGGCCTGCCGTCGCCACACTGGCTGCATTCTTGGCTGGGGCTTTACCATGTGCATTTTATACCTTAGACTCCCGGCTTTCGTGGCGTATATTCAAGGTACTAGCTTTTCATTCGGTGAGCCTGCCAGGCTGACGACGTGGAAAAGCATTTAAATAGCTTCCCGTTCTTATTCACGCAAAACCTGTCAAATTTCCGCGTTATTAGCATCCTCGGGTTGCGCCATTCCGCCTGCACGAGCTCCCATTCGTGCTCGGCTTACCTTTGTCATTGTGTCGTTGAATCTCAACGCCATTGTGCTGACCTGTAACGCTTCTATGCTTTCATGCACAATCCATGTCTCAAAACTTGATTTACTTCGCAACGTCTTGCTCAGCTGAAAGCTTTCCCGCAACGTCCCTTTATTCATGAGTTTCAAAGCTGGCTAAGAGAGTTAAAAGCAACACCCTTTTGGCCACCGAGTCTTCATGATTTTTCATCAATTTCGCCAGCTAATACAATGGCCGTTGCATCTCTCTTATCCCCAGGTTGACACTCAACCGCTTTCGACTTTGTCCAAGCACGCTCAAGACCATATTCAGAGTTTCCGGCTTTTGAGTCGACTAGAAAATTGACTGCTCGTTAGTATCCTATTCATGCACGCTCTAGACCATGTCCAAAGTTTTCGGCCCAAAAAGGGTCACCGTACCAGCCGCCGCGAAACCCGGAGCTTCTACGTCCCGGATATCATCGTCGTACGGCGTAGAATGGTCGGGCGTTGATCGCGACTGGATTAACAAAGACAGAAGGCATGAGAGAGAGAACTGGAAGGAGATTTTGGAAGCGGAGGGGAAGCCTCAGGAGGAGCGGGAGGGGGAGGAGGAAGAAGAAGAGGAGGAGGAGGAGGATCCTGTGTGTCCGCTCTGCATCGAGCATCTCGACGAAACCGAAGTCCGCTTTCGGCCCTGCCCGTGCGGGTAAATCTCCGTCGGCGCTTTTCCCTTTTTAATTTGGCAAGAGATTGCTCGTAATCTACGAGGAGCGTGAAGCGAGCTGCGTGAGCCCGTTCTTGGCGGGGATTTTGAGCATAGCTGGCTGGCATAACAAGCCTTCTGGCCCGTGCAGCCATGCCTTCTCATTGACACGCTTGTCACTCCGGCTTCACTGGTAAGTGCGGGGTAGGTCACAATCCAAACCGGCTTTTTCTTCTTCTTGTTGTTGCGAGTATGTGAGGTAAATCGAACTGAAATAGGTACTCCCCGCGTCTGGTCAACTCTGGGGCGTTTCACAGCCTCAAAAATCGTCTTGTTTCCCTCCCTTTCACTTATTGGACAATCTTTCCGCTTCCTTCCTTCCTTTCTCGTGTCCTCTGGGCGGACAAGCGACCTCGCCAACTCTAATTTCCCATGCCCCCCCTTCCATTTCCGCACCACCTCACGCTGTTTTCCGAAGCATCAGGTACCGTGTGTGTCTCTTCTGCTACGAGCGTATCAAGCTCGAACTCAACAGCCTCTGCCCCAGCGTCTTTTCAGGCGCTTCAAATTCGAACTTTCCCATGCTCCCCTTCCCCTCCCCCACCGCTTCGGCCTGTTCTCCTGGCTGGGGCGTCAGGTACCGCGTGTGTCTCTTCTGCTACGAGCGCATCAAGCTCGAACTCAACAGCCTCTGCCCCAGCTGCCGCACCCCCTACGGCGTCCCCCAACCTCCCTCCGCATCCGCTGCTGATAAACCAGCCGCAACAGCCAGAGCCGCGACTGGGAAGAAAGCAAAGGGCATGGCCAATGGGCGAGTGACAGGTGGCAGCGGCGGGCTGGAGAGCAGTGGAAAAGCGGGGGAGAGGGTTCGAGGAGGAGGTGGGGGGAGTGTAGTTGTGGGGTATGGGAGCGGAGGCGGATGGGGAGGAGGAGGGGTGGTGGTAGTGCGAACGTCCGCTGGTGCTGGCAGGCTGAGCGGAAGTGGCGGGACTGGCAGGGCTGATATCCTCGCTGGCGCTGCTAACGGCATTGCTGCTGCTGCTGCTGCTGCTGGTGCTGCTGCTGGGACTGGGGGAGGCGCTGGTGTTGGGGCTGGGTCTGGTGGTGCTGGTTTCGGTGGTATTGGCGGTGGATTTGGTGGGATGATGGGAGGAATGAGGGGGTTCAACCCGCCAATCTCTGCCATGGCGTCTTCGCCTCTCATGCAGCTCTCGCCCTCCTCTCCACTCACAGGTATGCATGCATGCACCCCACTCGCTCTCTCTCTGTTTCGGTGGTAAGGGCGGCGGGTTTGGTGGGATGGTAGGAGGAATGAGGGGGTTCAACCCGCCGATCTCTGCCATGGCGTCGTCGCCTCTCATGCAGCTCTCGCCCTCCTCGCCACTCACAGGTATGCATCCCACTCGCTCTCTTTGTACGTCCCTCCTTTGCAAACCCCCTCCTCTTCACCCCCCTCTTCTGCGTCTTCTTCTACTGCAGGCCCCCGCTCATCTGCACATCCCTTTCGTTTTAAGCGTCTGCCATGCTATCCCATTGTTTCTTCTTCCAACGGCTGTTGTACTTTCGTCCGTAGCTCGGCCGCTCTTTCTAAGGCTGTGTTTTTGAAACTCCTTATAGGTGCTGTTTATGTGATGTGGAAGTGAAACTGAAGCACACAACTTGATTAGGAAGCAACTGAATTCTGTCGTTGGGATTGTCAGATAACGATGCCAAACAGAAACAAACCGGATGTACGATTTTCTTTTGCTGACGTGCTGTTCCATACACCCCCCATGTCTCTCCCTCTCGCCCTTTCTCCCTATGTGCGTGTGCACTGCAGCATCACATAAGACCGTGTGGGAAGCCATCGTATCTCAACCACTCCCCTGCTCTCCCCATGTCTCTTCCCCCCGCCTGTTTCCTTTTCTCTGTGTGTGCGTGTGCACTGCAGCATCACATAAGACCATGTGGGAAAGGCCATCGTATCTCAACCACTCCCCTCTCTCCTGGGTGGCCACGTCATCTCTGTTGGGGTCCACGTCATCCGTGCTGGGATCCACGTCATCCCTGTTGGGTCCTCACGCACCTCTTAACCCCCCACTGCACCATCCGCCCCCACTCTCCTCCTCCTCCTCCTCCTCCCTCCTCCTCCTCCTCCTCCTCCTCCTCCTCCTCCTCCTCCTCCTCCTCCTCCTCCTCCTCCTCCTCCTCCTCCTCCTCCTCCTCCTCCTCCTCCTCCTCTTCCATTCCCTCCCTAGCACCCGCAATCAATTCTGCCGCCGTCTCTTCAGCTGCATCTTCTTCTGCTACTGCCCCTTCTAGTTTTCCCTCCTCTTCCTCCTCCTCCTCCTCCTCCTCCTCTGCTACCTCCGCGACTACCTCCCTAGCAAACTCAGCCCAAAGCCACGTTCCCCCACCACCAGCCGGAATTCTCACTGCCACAGTCCCTGCTGCTACAACCGCTGCAGTGGAACGCGCACTGGCATCTGTAGCTACAGGTCAAGCCAGGCGCCCAGGTCAGGTGAACGGTCAGGTGCTGACACAGGGGCAAGGGCAAAGTCAGGAGCAGGGGCAGGGAGGGCACGGGCAGGGACAGGGAGCACAGGGGCAGGCGCAGGGTGTGGTGCAAGGGCAGGGAGGGGCGAGTTTCGCACAGGGAGTGGCGAGTTTCGCACAGGGAGGTGCGAGTTTCGCTCAGGTGGGGCCTGTGATGCTGCAGCCGGGGCTGCGAGGGGCGAGTCTGGTGGCTTCCCTACCCGCCCGCATCAGAGTGACAGGAGATGGCGTGCTAGCCGCTCCCTGGCCGCTGCTGGGAGGTGGAGTGGGGTTGGGAGGAGTAGGGCTGGTAGGCCGCAGTTATATTGCGGGTGGCGCTGGTGGTGGCAGTGGTGTTAGTGTTGGTGGTGGTGGGAACATCGGTGGTTGGGGTGGTGGGATACTGGCAGGGTCTGTTGGTGCACTAGGGCCAGGAGCGACGCCTCTTATAGGGTCTGCTGCAAGGAGAGGAGCTGCTGGGCCGATGAGTTCTGCTGCTGGTAATGGTGTGGTTGGTGGTGGTTCGGTGAGTTCTGCTGCTGGTGCTGGCGTGGTTGGTGGTGGTTCGGTGGGTTCTGCTGCTGGTGCTGGCGTGGCAGGTAGCAGTAGTGCCCTGATTGCCAGTCCAGAGATAGTCGGAGTAGGTCTAGGAGCTGTTGTGGCTGCTGCTGGGGCTGCTGGGATGGTTGGGGCTGCTACTGCAAGCTTGTCGGGTCCAGGCACTGCTGCGGCAACTTGTGGAGGAGTTGTGGCTGCTGGTGGGGCTTCTGGGACGGCTAAGCCTGCTGCAAGTGCTGCGGCTGCAACTGAGACTGCTGGTACGGCTGGGACTGTTGTGATGGGTGTGTCTGGTTCAGGCACTGCTGCAGCAGCTACTGGTGCTGTTGTGGTTATCGCTGGGGTTGCTGGAACGGTTGGGGATGATGGGACTGGTGCGGCTGCCGGGGCCGCTGGGACTGCGGGGGTCTATGGGTCAGGCTTGGTTACCTCATTTTCTTTGTCTTCCTCCTCCTCTTCCTCCTCTTCCTCCTCTTCCTCCTCCTCCTCCTCCTCCTCCTCCTCCTCCTCCTCCTCCTCCTCCTCCTCCTCCTCCTCCTCCTCCTCCTCCTCCTCCTCCTCCTCCTCCTCCTCCTCCTCCTCCTCCTCCTCCTCTCCACCACATTCCATCCCACCATCATCCGTGTGTGTTACGAATCGTTTAGACGCTACTGGCACTTCCAACGCCACAGTTACCAGCAGCAGCAGCAAAAGCAACGCTATCACCAGCAAAACTGCTACCAGTGACAATGGTACTAGCAGCAGCAGCAGCACCACCACCACCACCAGCACTATTAGCACCAGCAGCAGCGGTGGCACCACCAGCAGCAGCAGCACCATCACGAACAGCTCTAGCAGCGGTTTCAGCAGCACCAAAGGCTGCAGTGAAGAGAGTGCGGCGCTTCAAATGGCTAGCAGCACACACACACAGCCAAAGGCACAGTCAAACACAGAGCCAGAGCAGCAGGCAGGCACACAGCAGCAGACAGGCACGTTAGATCATCCACAGGAGAAGGCGGGGGCTTCACAACTGCTGCTGCAGCGGCAGCAAGCAGTGGCAGCAGCAGCGGCGGCGGCGGCGGCGGCAGGGTTGGTGGCGGGGGTGGGGTGGGGTGGACAGAGGAGGAGATGAAACGAGCAGGGGAGATTGTGGCTGCAGCCAGGCGCACTCAGAGTAGATTCTCCTCCCTCTTTGCTGCTTCGGGGTCTACTGCTGTTGGTGGAAAGACTGGAGCTTGTGGAGATGCTGAGGTTTGTAGGGAGTCTGAGGTTTGTAGGAATGCTGGTGCTGGTGCTGGTGATGGTGATGGTGATGGTGATGGTGGTGGTGGTGGTGATGGTGGTGGTGCTAGTGTTGCTGCTGGTGAGGGGAGCAGCAGTACCAGCAAAGACGGTGGTGGTGGTGGTGGTGGTAGCTCGGATGACCTTACTGCTGTGGCTGCTGTCACTGCTTCTGTACCCTCTGGGGCTAGTGGCGGTGATACTGGTGGTGCTAGTGGTGGTGGTTCTATTGGCGGTGAAGGTGCTGGCGCTGGTGCTGGCCCTGGTGGTGGTGATGGTGGTGCTGCTAGTGCTGGAAATGAGGGTGGTATTTCTGAACCGCATGAGAGTGACCACGAGGCAGTGTGGGCGTGGATAGCAGGGGATGCGCCAGTGCCCCATGCTGCCTCCTTCTCCTCTCTTCTCTCCACCCAACCTCTCTCCTTTGCCCCCGCTTCTGCCAGTGCTGCCACTGCTGCTAATACCCCTGCCACTGTTGCTGCTTCTGCCTCTGCCCCCCTTTCTGGACTGAACAATCACCAGCACCAGCGGCACCAGTGGCACCAGCACTCACATGTAGCCCGTGTTTTCTCTGCCTCTGCTCTCCCGCTCCTCTCCTCCTCTCCTTCCATCTGGAGCCCGCTTACCTCCCCTCCTAAATTTGCTGCAGCAAGTATTGAACCCGCATCTCAGAAACAGTGGCTGGGACCATATAGTCATGTCAGGGAGGTACTATCTGAAAAGGCTGGAGGGAAGGTTCTATCTGAGGAAGGTGGAGGGGAGGTGTTATCTGGGGAAGCTGGAGGGGAGGTGCCATCTGGGGAAGGCTGTGTGGAGAAGCAACCACCAGCTGATCCTGGTTCTGCTGTGATCGCTGAAGCATCTGTAGCGACAGCACTAGCAGGTGAGTCTATGGTTGGTGTTTCGTTTAGTCCCTCCCTCCTAGTGTCTCCAAAGTGCATTAAAGGAGCAACCATCAGCAGCTGATTCTGGTGCTGCTGTGAACTCTGAAGCACCTGTGGCGACAGCACTAGCAGGTGAGCCTATGGTTGCTTGCTGGCATCGCAGTTGTTCCCAGTACGCCCCTCCCACCATCTCCCTCCCATCATCTCCCTCCCACCATCTCCCTCCCACTATCTCCCTCCCACCATCTCCCTCCCACCATCTCCCTCCCACCATCTCCCTCCTACCATCGCCCTCCAACCATCTGCCTCCCACTATCTCCCTCCTACCATCGCCCTCCCACCATCTCCCTCCCATCATTGCCCTCCAACCATCTCCCTCCCACTATCTCCCTCCTACCATCGCCATTCCACCATCTCCCTGCCGCCATATCCTTCGACCCTTAGCTGCTCTGTCAAGGCAGAAGAAGAAGACGGGGGCCGAAGGAACCACGGGAGTCAACACTCGCAAATAATCAAAACCTTCTTCTTTAACCTATTTGCCCCTGTGTGCCTTGCTGTCTGTCTGTCTCGCCACCACCATCCCCTTTCCCTCCCCGTCTCACCCCTCTATCTCGTGGCAACCTTGATTGCCGTGATAGCAGCAGTGGCAGAGCCAAGTCCTGATGGGTCTGAGAATAAGCTGCCTGGCGCTGCGTTGATTAGCAGTGATAGCCAACCCACCGCAATCAGCAGCACCACCAATACCATGATCACGAGCAGCAGCGGAAGTGTCATCACTGATAGCAATTTCACCAGAATGAGCCGCACTGGCAATAACAGCAGCTGGAGCACCAACACTGGTAGCAACAGTTGCATCAAGCCCAGCAGCAGTAGTTTCGACACCACAACCAATAACAGCAGCAGCAGCAGCAGCAGCAGCAGCAGCAGTGGGACCACCAATGACAGCGGGAGTGGCATTGAGAGCAACAGTTTCAACAGCAGTGCCAGCAGCAGTCTAGGCAGCCGCAGGGAGAGTCATGACTCACAGTCTAAGCAGATAGCTCATAGCCTTCCCAATTCCCCTCCTCCACAGTCATCTCAGTCCTCCTCCTTTCTCCCTTCCTTCCGTTCCCTTCGCCCTTCTCTTCCCACGTCCATCTCCCTCCCTGGCCGGTCCTCTTCCTCCTCCTCCTCCTCCTCCTCCTCCTCCTCCTCCTCCTCCTCCTCCTCCTCCTCCTCCTCCTCCTCCTCCTCCTCCTCCTCCTCCTCCTCCTCCTCCTCCTCCTCCTCCTCCTCCTCCTCCTCCTCCGTCTCCATTACCACACTCCCCTCCTCCAAATCCCACCATATCACATCCTCCCTCTCATCCTCCGCACTCCCTCCTGGAGGCCCATCTGCCACGTCAGCAAGCTCCACGTCAGCAGCGATCCGTGCCACCACTCTCTCGGCGACAGCTGGCGAGTTCATTCCGTCACTGCCCGCCACACCAGCAGCAGCATCCCTCTCTACAGTCACGCCCACTATAGCTTCCTATGCTACCCCGGGCGCTATTCGTCGATCGCTGTCCCCTGCTCCCCGCGTTCCAATCCGCTCCTCCTCCCCTTCTCCTGCCCGCTCTTCCTCTCCCCTTCCCCCCTCCTCTCTCTTCAAATCCCCCTCTGCCTCTTCTTCCTCCTTCACCTCACCTCCCCCCTCTGCTCCTCCTGCTGATGCTGCTTCTCTCACTGCTGCAGCCTCCTGGAAGCTTCCTCAGCGTGCCGCATCCCCATCCCGAACCTCTCCATCTCCAACCTACTCTCTCCGAACCTCCCTCGCTGGTTCGGCATCCCTAGCCAGTGCAATATCAGCTCCGGAGTTCAAACCCAAGCTCGATGCTCCTGAATTCAAGCCTTCTGGTGCTGCTGTAGTGGCTACAGCTGCTACAGCTGCTACAGCTGCTACAGCCGCTACAGTGGCTACAGCTGCTACAGCTGCTACAGCTGCTACAGCTGCTACAGCTGCTACAGCTGCTACATTTACTAATTCCCGTGCGACTGCAAGAATGGTTTCTGCTTCTCGTGCTACAGCTGCTAGGGTTTCATCCTTCCTTGCCACAGCTACTAAAGATTCCAATTCGCCTGCTACAGCCGCTGCTACAATCTCCGATTCACCTGCCACTTCTGCTAGAGTCTCTGCTGCCCCTACTGCTGCCCTTGCCGCTTCCCCTGCTGCTGCCCCTGCCGCTTCCCTTGCTGCTGCCCCTACCTCCTCCCTCTCCACCTCTGCTGCCACTGCCTCTGCCTTCGTCCCCTCCTCATTGCCTGTGGTTGCTACAGCCACTAGGGTTCCCGATTACCTTGCTACGAGGGTCCCTCCTGGCTTTTCTCCTGCTGCTGCCCCGACCTCCTCCCTCTCCATATCCACCTCTGCTGCAACTGCCTCTGCCTTCGTCCCCTCCTCTATCTCCATGGTTTCTACAACCTCGTCTGCCTTTGCTCCTTTATCTGTCTCTGAGCAAGTTTTGTCCTCGGGTTCAGTTGCGACCTCTAGGGTGGATTCAGGTTCTGGCGCGGTACTGTGGGGTGCGAGTGGCTCTAGTGCGGTTCTTGAGCGGCACGAATCAGGAGGAATGGCAGGGCATGAGATGGGGCATGATTTGGGGGAAGGCGTGTTTCTCCCCATGACCCTTGACTCCCCCCCACCGCTCTCTACCGCTCGCCAGGGTCCCGTGAGGCGGCTGTTTGGGGATAGTGAGAGCACGGCAGGGGACGCAGGGGGCGTGGGAGTCATGGGAGGAATAGGAGCAGGAGGAGTGGGAGCAGGGAGCATGGTTGGGTTGTTTGAGGGTGGTGAGAGCTTGGCAGGAGATGCAGCAGGCGTGAGTGACTCAGGGACGGTGAATGGCATGGAGATTGGTTCAAGCGATTGTGTGGTGTACTATAGAAGCCAGTGGGGAGGGGAGGAGGGAGGAGAGGAGGAAGGAGGGGAGGAGCAAACGGAGCAAGAGCAACCAGCTATGTACTACGAGGGGTTGACGACTCATGTGGTCTATGGTGCTGCAGCAGCAGCAGATGCGGACGGGTCTCACAAGTCAACTGGTGGGATGATGGGAGCGGGTGAGGGTACTGAGCTTAGCAGCACACGCAGCAGCACGGTCTTTATAAGGAATGGACTCCGGGGAAGCAGTGGCAGCTACAGCTACAACAGGGATTTCAATAGCAGTAGCATCAGCAGTAGCAGTGCAAATTACAGCAGCAGCGGCGGCAACAGCAGCAGTGCCAGAGTCAGCGTTGCAAGGCATAACCGTAGCCATCATGATAACATCACTGGCAGCAGCAGAAGCCTCAGCAGCAGAGGCATAAGCAGCAGCACTAGCAGCGGCAGTAGCGGCAGCAACCCAGGCTCGTTTATCCCCTCTAAGAGCTCACTCGCTAAAGCAGCTGGAGCAGTGCCGTTTCGCCCCAAGGCTGTTATCCCCCCCCGCTTTATTTCCCCTACTGCTCCAGCCTTTGTTCCTTCCTCTGCCCCCTCTCTTCCCTCCAACCATCCCTCACTTCCCTCATCCCATTCCTCCCACTTCTCCTCCTCTCACTCCACTCTCTCCTCCTCTCTCTCGACCCCCCTCTCCTCTTCACACTACACTGTACCAACCGCCCCTCTACGCTCCACCTCCCCTGCCTTTACCCCCTCCAAGCTCTCTCTTCATTCCGCCCCTTTCACACCTTCCTCTGCATTCATCTCTCCACCACCTCCCCACACACGCCCATCTGCGGCCTTCCCCACTGCTCCCTCTGCTGCTGCTGTCACTTTGGCCAAAACTACTGTCATTGCCACTGCTGCTTCTGCCGCTGCCTCACCTGCAGCAAAACATGCTCCTTTTGCTTCAGCTAGTGCTCCCAGCACACCTGCTGCAAAGGCAGGAACACCGGCGGCACCAGCACCAGCAGCAACAGCAGCAACACCGGCACCAGCAACACCACCAGCACCAGCAGCCACAGCAGCAGCAGCAGCAGCAGCAGCAGCGGTGCCTTCAGTCTCCACGCAGGATGGGACGAATCCTGCTGGCACATCGTTGAGAGCAGGCGCAGAGGAATGGCTGGGACCACAGAGTGTAGCAGCAGAGGTTTCTGGTGGGATGGAGGAGTGGCAGAGGCAGCAGAGTGCAGGGCTGGGGCTATCTGGTGTGCCAGCAGGAGCAGGAATGAGCAGCAACAGTGGGTACGGACGTGGGGGGTATGGAAGCGGAACGGACGTGATGTCAGCTGGCATGGCAGCAGGCACGGCAGCAGGCACGGCAGCAGGCACGGCAGCAGGTATGGTGGCGGGTGTGGCAGCATACGAGCCTAGTGGTTCAGCAGGAATGCAATCAGGCACGGCAGTGTATGAGCCTAACGGGGCAGCAGGTTCGGAAGCAGGCATGGCAGCTAGCAGCGGGATGCAAGGCATGGGTGGTCATGCAGGTGCCATGGCATGGCCGCATGGCGCATGGCATGGCATGGTGGCACATGGCATGGTGGCACATGGCATGGTCGGGTCTCCTCCTGCTGAATGGCATGGCATGGCTGGTTCCCCCCCTGCCCCACACTCAGCACACTCAGCACACTCAGCACACTCAGCACACTCAGCACACTCAGCACACTCAGCACACTCAGTCCAATCAGGGCTGCCAGTTGCTCTTCCACCTTGGCAGATGGGAGTTGCACCTGCCTCTGCTACAGCCGCTGCTGTCCCTTCTGCTGCTGCCACCGCTGCTGCTGCCGCCGCCGCCGCTGCTGCTGCTGCTGCTGCTGTGCCTGCTGCTGTGCCTGCTGCTGTCAATTACACCGGAGCTACTTTTGGGGCCCATGCCGTGCCTGAGATGTGGTCCGGTATTCCTTCCCAACATGGAACTTTAGCTGGTCCGGACGTCTGGTCCGGGGCTGCTGTTCATGGTTCGGAAGCTGTAGCTGGCTGGAGTTCGGTGGAGGGGTATGCAGGTTCGGCAGGTCCCTGGGCAGGTATGGGAGGACATGTTGGTTCGGGCTTGTGGTCCCAAGTGAAGGTGTGGCAGGTGGTGGTGCAGTTGTAGGGGGGGTAGTGGGAGGGATGTGGGGAGGGATGGGGGAAACGGGTGTGCATGGTATGGCTGTTGGCATGGTGCCCGGTGGGATGATGATGGGTGGGTATGGCATGCATGTGCATGGAAATGGGGAGGAGGATGGGGGTTTTGATGGGAGTGGTGGTGGGGGGGTTGGAGTTGCTCCTTTGCATTGTCCTGCATGTCACGGTTATCTTGCCACTTCTGCGGCTGACTTAGCAGCTCACTTGGATCACTGTGCTCGTTACAATCATTGAGTCTCACATGGTGATGCTTGACGGAAAGACACATATATGTGCATAATATTTTCATTTGTCAATATTTTCGCGTCTCCCTGGAAATTTGATATGATAACTTTCACCTCCCATAAGTTCCATGAAGTAGTTTCCAGGCACATTCTGTGGATTTTGTACATCAGCAACTTCGGGTGTCACTAACGGGATAACTTATCGCGACGCGCGCCCGCTGACTGCAGTTCCACAATGAACCTCTGGTTTGCGTTGACCCACCCCTCAAATCCCGTCGAAGAAATTCAACGCGTCATTGTGTTCTTCCATACCTGGCCCAGCTAGACATGGTTCGTCACATCCCCAAGCTGCTCGGCCCCCACCATCGAGCCCAAACCAAACCCGACGAGCCAGAACAAACCACGAAAAAGAAACCAGACCAGACGCCAGGCTCACGGCACGAATCGCGAAACTTTTCCACCAGTTCGACCAGTCATTCCGCGTCTCGGGAAGTTTTCTCTCCCCAGTCAAACCACAGCCCACTCCCCCGACTCGAGGAATGTGAGCAATCTGCTGCACATAAATTGCTCCCATTCTTCAATCTCTTCCCATCCCATTTACTTCGCTCTGCTTTCTCCTGTCCGTCCAACCACTAGTTCTTTCACGTCTTGTTACAAACCAAATTTATTCCCGCCGATTCTGAAAACCATGGCAGTAAAAGGGCTTCTTGTAGTCTGCATTGCGCTCCTCATTGCGACTTCCGCGGCGGCTCAGCGTGGTCCTCCTGGCGGAGGCCCTCCCGGGGGCCAGCAGCCCGGGAGGCCGCGCGGAGGACCTGGCGGCGGACCCGGAGGACCCGGCGGACCTGGGGGACCCGGCGGACCGGCTGGTCCGCGCGGTCCTCCACTCAATCTGACGGTCGTCGGAAATCTTACGGGGGACGTCGGTGCGCGATTGGCTAACTGCTCCGCGGACCCAACGTTTCTCGACGGTCGCTTTCACCTCGCCATCTTCAAGTGAGCTTCGAGCATCTGTGCCAACGAAACCCTAAAAATCGTGGGGCCCTTCATTTCGCCGGGCTTCCTTTCCGTCAATTTTGTTAAGGCGTCCCATGAGATCTCGTTCCCCTCGTTCCTCCATTCACTCATCCCGCTCCTCGCCTCTTTCACCCCTTCCTTTCCGGC